AACCCCCTGTAGCTGCACTTAGCCTCTGCACCAGTTCGTATAACACGCTAACGTGAACCACTCGACTATGCCGTTTAGTCCATATTGACTTTGTGATGCACGATACATCCAGCTAGTACATAGTAGCCGATAGCGCACGAACTAAGCACACAATTGCGTCTCTCAGCGTGGTATAACTCGTCCGTAGTCATGAAACTCCCACAGCAAGTCTACCTCGACTTCGCCTACAGCGAAGCACTCATTCGACTCGAACCTCCTAGCTTCTCATTTCTCCTCAAGCGAGAACGAACCTACCTTCCCAGCACCATGCACCACTGGTCGTGAATCTCTTCTAAGCTCACATAGAGACTTTCAAGAGACGTCGAGATTGCACTTGCAACAAGTTCAATGTCATCACTCGGTACAGATCGCATCCAATAGGAAACGTTGTAGTGTTCTCGAATACCAGCGACCACACTTTCAATTTGTCATTCAACTTGCCATGTTCTCCCCTGCTTCCGACGCCGCCCCCCTCGTGCCTTCGGCCACCCCCCTTCAAGTGAGCCGCAACTAGGCTGGAACCTATCCCAGTGGCGCAACAGCCCTTTGTCCGTCGAGCGAGCCCTGTGATGAACCCCCTGTAGCTGCACTTAGCCTCTGCACCAGTTCGTATAACACGCTAACGTGAACCACTCGACTATGCCGTTTAGTCCATATTGACTTTGTGATGCACGATACATCCAGCTAGTACATAGTAGCCGATAGCGCACGAACTAAGCACACAATTGCGTCTCTCAGCGTGGTATAACTCGTCCGTAGTCATGAAACTCCCACAGCAAGTCTACCTCGACTTCGCCTACAGCGAAGCACTCATTCGACTCGAACCTCCTAGCTTCTCATTTCTCCTCAAGCGAGAACGAACCTACCTTCCCAGCACCATGCACCACTGGTCGTGAATCTCTTCTAAGCTCACATAGAGACTTTCAAGAGACGTCGAGATTGCACTTGCAACAAGTTCAATGTCATCACTCGGTACAGATCGCATCCAATAGGAAACGTTGTAGTGTTCTCGAATACCAGCGACCACACTTTCAATTTGTCATTCAACTTGCCATGTTCTCCCCTGCTTCCGACGCCGCCCCCCTCGTGCCTTCGGCCACCCCCCTTCAAGTGAGCCGCAACTAGGCTGGAACCTATCCCAGTGGCGCAACAGCCCTTTGTCCGTCGAGCGAGCCCTGTGATGAACCCCCTGTAGCTGCACTTAGCCTCTGCACCAGTTCGTATAACACGCTAACGTGAACCACTCGACTATGCTCTTTTTATGTTGCCATTCAATTCTTCTATAGCATTCGGGAGTTGTCATGTGAAGCAGCTTACCATATTCAACGATACGTGTTCATGTCAAGAACGATGACTGTCTTAGAGTATGGCTAATGGTGTCTCTATGTTTTAGCTTCCATGCTTTCTGGTGATGTCCACAATGAACTAACGATCTCAACCAATCTGTACTAAGTTCTTTCAAGTACCCCCGGCACGCCACCCTGCACCCTCTAGTCCCTATTTTTATTCGTCGCCATAGCTAGGGGAGGCCGTGTCGACATTGAGAAACTGCTGGAGGATGGTGTTGGCCGCCGGGTTGTTGGTGCACATGGCTTCCACTTTGCCTAAGTACGTGTTCAGGTGGGTGCTCTTGGCGGCGAGGTAGGCTGGATCGAACTTGCCCCACAGGCGTGTGGACGGCAGTGGCGGCATTTGCTCGTGGGGAAAGATCAGGCGCAGCTGGCGGTTCACCTCGCGGAATGCGCTAAAGCGCCGGAGGATAGTTTGGCCGCCCGTGTGGATGATGCGGATCTGAAAAGCCGCGTACGGTCCTTTGTCGTCGTTCAAGACAAAATACTTGTCCACGCTCAACCGATGCACGGATGGCAGCTGCGAATCGAGCGATACGCCCAGTGCGCTGTGGTCGACCACGTCTTCATGCAGCCGGACGTGGCATCGATCGACGGCTTCGAGGCCGTGCGTCCACACATCAAACGTCCGCGAGTCCTTGACCTTGAAATCCAGCGTCGTGCCCGTCTTGGTTACAATGCGAAGCAGGCAGCGCTTGGGGTACGCCAACACAGTCGACTTGTGCACGGGAAACTGCGCCAGCCCCACCAGATTCGGACACGTGTCGTAGCAATCCAGCGACGTCTTGGTCAAGACAAACCACCGACTGGTCCACCCCTGGCTTTCGTACCAGCTCTTGGCCTTGAGCGTTTTGAACTGCAGCAGACTCGTCTTGACCGCCCCAAAGTAATCCACGCACGCCCCCGACGGCAAGTCCAGCCCCACGGTACAAATGGACGACGACGACGACGACGTTCTACTGAACAACAAGCTCACTCACGTATTCAAATCGTCACAATTGTTTAACGTACCCAGCGGGGATTGGAGGCGGCTGCGGCAGGGTCAAGAGGTGGATCGCATGGGTAAGCGCTTCAAGCCATTCGTTGCGCAACTCGGTCGTGGACGCGCGAAGGATCTGAGTGCATGTTGCCGCCGCTGCTGCCGAAGTGGTCGACGACGGGGTGTGGGGGGCGCTACCCCCGATGCCGAACCGGAGGCTCCGTCCGCTGCCTCCAGCCAGCCCCGGAGTCGCCTCGTCCGGTGTGACTTTGAGCGTGAACGCATCGTCACCCAGCTGCACGCCAAGCTTGGCCGAGAGAGGAATCGACCACTTCTTGCGGCACCCAATGTCGTCCGCATTCGATGCAAAGTAGATGCGCTTGTGGTCCATCACGGCCGTACGCGTGCCCCATGCGCCCGTCGCCCGATCCCGCGCCAGGACAGTCGTGGCAATGCGGATCTTGGAGTGCGGCGTGATGGGAACCAGCCCCCGGGGGTACAACGACGGCAGCGGGCGCTGTGCACTCATGTACCGTCGTAGCTTGTCCACGACCTATATCCGTCCAATGACGAATCAACACTTCATCACAGAGAAGTTTGGGAAGGGGGGGAGTCGTATACCGGTCGACAGATTTGCATGAGCGTGAACATGACCACGTCGTCCGAGTCCCAGCAGGCTGAGTGCGACGCCGCCGCGTATGCCATCTCAATCACCCCTTCGCGCCCTCGGCGGCGCATGACATAGTCGATGCGGGGCAACGTAAAGCCAGGCACTGGCGCCGTGATGCGCTCCCACATTTCTTGCATTTTCGAAAACGGCATGTGTTTGCACTGTTGGGCCTGCACGTCGCCTTAGAACGCCGCGGTTGGTAGGTGGTCATATATAGTATGTACCTGAATCAAGGGCACGGGGGGCTTGTCGTGCATGTCTGGGTGAATCAGCGGCTCCACGCGGTACGCGATGGGGTCGATGGGGTGGAAGATGTTGAAGTAGTGGTTGCAGCTGGGCATGGTGATCCCCGGTGTAAACTTGCCGTCCTTTAGGTCCAGCCCCCCCCGCGACAGAATCATCACTGGAACAGGCGACCTGTCCAAAGCGATAATTGATTCGTTATAATACTAATAACAAATAAATATATATAGAGATATGTAGAATATTGCTCGACGTACCCCGCGGCAAAAAAGTTCTCGATGGAAAAGTCAAGCCCGGAAAACTTGACCCCGTTCTTGGCCACGCTGTGGGCTGGATGCGTGAGGATGTCGTACGTAATCACTGTGCCAAGTGAATGCGCAAAAATCGAAATCTGTCCATTCCAGCCTAGAATAATATTATATATATATATATATCATCTCGAAGAAATCTCGTACGAACCTGGATGTTCGTCCATAAACACTTTGTACTTGGAGTTGAGCTGGTCCGTGACGGAATTCACGACGATTTGGCCGTAGCCGGGCGACAAATAGTACAAAATGTCCATAAACGTGTCCTTGTTGAACTGGCGAATGCTACGCACAACCCAAAACCACATACAAACCATCATTAGTAGCAGTACTAGTAGTAGTAGTAATACTAGTAGTAGTACCCTTGAGATCCTTCCGGGCAAATGATGTCAAAGACGGCGTCCACGCCCGTGGGTTCATGCAACTCTTCGTGCCATTCGATCGACTGAATCTCCAGCGCCACGGGAACTTCCCTTCATTCGACTCGTTAGATATACGCCACTGTTTGTACATTATATAAATATAATAATAATAATTAAAACAATAATATTCACTAGAAATTAAAATAATATAATTTTTTTAAAAACTTCAAACGTATGATAGTGAAACCGAAATGCAAACGTATTCACTGGGTGTAGTACATAGGTCATATATATATTATATATATATCTTACTTAAAATGGGTGTCCAGCATCGTCCGGAACAGCTCGCGAAACGCGCGATTCGATCCCGCCGTCGACGCTCCCACGTCCTCTTCGTCGCCTTCCTTGAAGTCGCCGTGACACCCAATTCCGTGGATCACAAACATCAAGTGGTTCACCGTGTCCAGATGCAGCTACCACAACATCCTTAGCCGCCATACATCTTTATGACGATACCTCGGACGGGTACTCGAACGAATCGTCGTCGCGCGGGCTCGTGTCGTCGTTAATGGAACTCGCCATCGACAGGTTTCGACGTAGGGGCGGCGGAGGAGACGGCGGCTTGGATGATGATGCTGCGGTGGCGGCGGCGGCGGCATCTTTGGCTTTGCGTCGGACGGCTCGGCAATGCGCCGCGAGCAGTGTCGTCCGCTGGTCCACGTTTGCCAGCAGCCTGGCAAAGTCCAGAATGAACTCGGCGATCATGGAGTCCGTCATGTGGGTCTCCAGATACGTGTAAAACGATTCGGCCGGCTGTTTTCCCGTCCCAAACTCCATCGCTTGGTCCTTGAAAGCGTCGAAGCTCGCGTCGTCCCCTAGAGCGGCTTGGATGCGCGCGATGACAACGCCGTTGAGCTCGGCCGCGTCGTCCCCGTAAACGGGGTCGATTTCGGGTAGATCGATCTCGTCATCGTCCATCTCGTCACCATCGTCACCATCGTCTTCGTCATCGTCGTCACCGTCGCCGTCGTCGTCGCCTTCTGTTATGTACTCCTCGGAATCGTCCGGGCTGCCGTGGGGGGGCTCGGCGTAGATGCCCGTGGACAACGACGATTCGTTCTCTGCGAGCGCATCACCATCCGAGGACTTGGAGTCTGCAGTGTCGAGCAGATTGTGCAGAAACCGCAGGGCTTTCGACAACACGGCCGTGCACTCCTCGATGGACTGCGCCGCCGCCGATACGGCGGCTATGTCGAGCGGCACCTCATCCGGAGAAGGCTGTGGTAGAACGACGTTGAGTGCAGCGTCGAGGTCACTGCGCGCTTGATGCAGCCAAGCACCGAGCTCGTGAAGGGGGGCCGTGGGTGTCGCCAGCAACATCCCGTCTGGTCTTGTCTCTCCTTGGTGCGATGATGACGGCAATTTTGACTGTCAGGACGACGCAGTCTCAAAATATCCAACAACGACATACATTCCATTAGTTGTAAGGAGAACATGACAATATGTCCAAAATGACAAAGTCAAGTTCAAAATAGATTGACAATATTGTGAATTGTATGCAACTTTGAAAACTCCAAGTTCAACATGTTCAATGCTGTCGTATTCGTTTTCACAAGTCTTGTGTTTTCAAAGGTTATCACTGTATGTACAGTAAAAAGTGTCTGCCATGTATTGTGAATTTCCAAAATTCGCCTGGTTTGTCGAATCAATATGGTGGAATCACGCTGGAGTTCTGATTGGTTGAAGACACTTGTCGTTTCTGCAATAGCCAATCAAATCCACTCAAAAATGGATTAGCCAATAGCGTCGATTCGTGATTCGATTCATCGATTCGACCAGGTACCAAATCCACTATAGTGTCTTACTCGAATGATTCAAAACGAGGTTGGCTCCTGTCGCCACTATATTACGCTGGTTACTGGCAGTAACTAGTACGCTCATGCACGGTCGTCGTCGTCCGTCATGACAAACCCGTTCGTGGGCATGTATCCACGGGGACTCTTGGCCGCCGCCATCGCCGCCGGGTGCAATTTGGTCCCGCCAATCATGCTGTCCATCTCGTCCGACTGATCTTCCAACGGCATGTACTCGGCCAAAATACTGCGCACTTGGTCGCGCATCTGCCGTTGGCTGCGCTTCCAGTACACGAAGCCAGCCGACGCCACCGCCACGCCCGCCAACGCCAAGATAAACACCAACGTGGTGAAGCTCACACCGCCGCCCAATGCTGCGCCGTTGACCGCGCCTCCTTGCTTGATGCAGTTGATCAGCGCCATGTTGTTCTGGTCCGAGCAGCTGCAGATGGCCGGGGGGTCGTGGATGCCATACCCGGCGCACACCATGTTCATGATGCCACTGGCGTCGATCCGACCGCGGGCGTGAACTCCGTCGACAAACAAAGCCGGAAGACGCAGCAGCTGCAGCGCAGTCTGCTCCTTCAAGTCGGCTTCGAGCCACGGGTTCACTTCGTCCAAGTTGGGGCCGAACGGCTGCATGCATTCTTCAACGGCGCCCACGTCAATCTTGACTTTCTTCATCACGTCCAGCGCGCACCGCTTGCTCATAAACGTCTCCTCGCGGGTGTTGCACTCGTCTGCGAAGATGTTCACGTAGCGCCACCACTTCTTGCCCACACCAGGGTCTTCCTTGGACGTAATGTCCCAAATGCACTTGCGACGGAGGTTTTCGATCACCACGTCCGCGCCAGACGCGCCTTCCGTGCGGTCGTGGAACGGCGATGGGTCCATGAGGCAGTACCGACCCTTGTTGATGCACATGTTGCCGCAGGGGTCGACGCCGTCGTGAATGTCGCAGCCCACTTTCGACCCGTTGTACATGACAAAACGCGGCGTGAAGAACGCGCGGTCGCCCAGCGCATCCACAATGGTTTCCGCCGCCTTGAGCAACGCCGTGCTCTGTTCGTCCCATGCACTGTGCCACATGGTCCATTCGACGCGTCCGTCGGGCGATGGGATACCCCAGTCGAACTTGACCATAACGTTGCTCACACCCTTCGCTTGGGAAATCGATTTCTTGATATCGTCCGCGTCAGCCTTGCGAATCATCATCGATGGGATCGTGATGTCGCCGCCAGACTCGTCATCGTTCATGTACGGCAGGACGACTTCGCAAAAGGAATCACCCGTTCGACGCATGCAGTCTAGGTCTGAGCACAAGCACTTGTTGTCTGCAATGATGACGGCTCTAGCTCCAGCGTGTTGGGCTCGTCGCACTTTATCCACAAACACGCAGTCCCCGCGGTCAATCATGAGTGCATAGGGAGGTTCCCAGTTCGCCCCCTTGGGGAAGTCTTCGCAGCCTGTGCCGTTCACGTAGATCAACTGAGTCTGAAGCGACCCCACGTTGTAGCCAGGGTACCCAAACAACGCGTCCTTGTGGACATATCCGTCCTTCTTCTGCAAGGATTCCGGCAACACGATCTGCAGCTTGGTATGGTCGTTCTACTCGACAAGGAGATGAGGATCATCAAGGGGGATAATGCTGTGTACCTCAATGGAGGGCCACTCGTTCACATCCGCCGCAGGGGCCACCGACGCGCAAGCCGCCAAGACACTCAACGTCGCAAACCGCTGCATTCTTCAGTAAAGGAATATCTGGAAATGGATAGAGATGTTCTCGGGGTGAAGTCCCAGGCGGCTGTGGCCATTTTATTCCAATTACGACCTGCCCTTATAAAGATTACTATAAAACCTACATTCCAGTCAAATAAAGTGTTTCCACCATTTTGGAGCAAAAGATTTGTCCGGATGATATCCGGCATGGTACTTTCTCGATCTGAATAAAATTATATTGGGAATTGTATGCCTTTGTCGTTGTATAAACCGTTCGAAAAAAGAAAGCCTACACCGGTAGGGTGACGACGAGTACTGTAGGTACTGTACAGTATGTCAAAACTGGAAGGGCGATGTCGCATGTTAACCACAAGCGTCATTGCTTGGCCTTGGACGATACCCGCCTCCAACGCCATCACGTAAGCCAAGATTTGCTGGTGGGATCATCGAATTACGACTGAATTGTCCATGGATTGGACCATGTAGCCGTTAACCGTTCCCGTTGCGAAAGGTTGGTTGGTTGACAGGTTCTTCACTGTGATCATGTGGTCATAGCCGAACCAGTTGGCGACACCAAACACGCCCGGGTTCACGTGTTGGAGCCCAATACGTTCAACAGCGCAACGTGCTGCTGCTCTTCTGTCGGTTGAATTTGGTGAGGCACAGGATACGAGGGATGGGGGAGAGAGAGGTGGAGATGGCGGGAAGAGCCGCGACGTCGGAGGCTGCTTCACGGGAAGGACTCACCACCTCTGGAGTCATACATCATGACTACCGCTACAAGTCGACAATCCTTACCAGACAGATCATTCAGAAAAGTTCGGATGATGGAGGATATGCACTCGTACTGGACTCGTCATGGTGACATTGGTGGAGGGTGCCGAGGCAACAAGGACGTGGTCGTCGCTGGTGTCGTCGTCAAGGTTGCGGCGCTTGACGGTGTATTTGGCTTTTGTCGACGCATCCACTTCGGTGCAGCGTTCCAGGAGATGTGTCGTGTCGCCCTTGACTTCTTTTTGTACCACATGCACTACCGTCGTTTCCGCAGCTTGCACTTGGCCGACTGCCGACTTCTAATATGCCACCTCCATGGCGACACATCCGCGGACCCAGAGACAGATGGTTCATTTCCTTCCTCGTTCATATCGCTTGTGGTGCCCCCCGCGTTGTCACTTTCGCTCAGACGAGACCTGTACGCTTTGGTCAAGGCCTCTTCGACGTGTGGGCACGTGTCCACGATGTGATTGTACATGCGAGCTGCATCTGGGTGAAGGTGAGCGTGATTGCGTCGATGGACTAGGACATCCTCAGCGCCGACGCTTTGCACGAATGTTGCCTATTTAGGCGTACACGTAAGGTAACTTGGTGAATGATGCCATCACTCACCCAATTCTTCGGTCTGCATCATCCGCATTTGCCATGTACTACTACCGTACTGTACTAGTACGAGCGTCGTGATCACGGTCAGTCCATCGTTGATCGGTCCTTTTCATCCACTGTAACTCCAGCCACCCAAACTTGACTAAATGGAGCCCAAAAGAGAACGACAACGATGATACGTAAGTCCGACCTAGTTTGCTAGCCGTCGCCTAACGTTAACTGTACTTCACACGGGTGATTAGATATTTCGACGCAAGGTAGTAGGCTTATACTATTGCATGTGCGCCACCAAACGCGCCCGAGGTAGGTGTGGTTGGGGGTGGACGTGCACCGATTCATGCACGTTCGTGCTTGGACCACGGCTCCGTGGGGTCGAACACACCAGGATGACGCACGGAGTCACGGCGACCCACTGCGCGCTGGCTGGCCACTAGGCCTCGTCGGCCGGCGAAGGCTGGCGGGTCTACCCGCTTGAACGCAACTTTCGTGCTGGCGTTCCATGGCCCTGCGGCTCGAATGTTCGCGGGACAAGCTTACCCAGGCAATCTCGTCGGGCCTCCGTGGCGACGGCTCGCGAGCGGCGGCGTACTCTCGAGCTGTCCTCGCGTGGACTTGCTTGGACGCCACGTTATGGCTGTTGTTCCATGCGTGTAGGTATTGAGCGAACTTGCAAAGCCGGTCGCCGATTGCATGGTTCAAGGGGACATATGAGCCTTGTAACGGATCGGTTTCACTTTTGAAACGGCTTCACCACCACACCTCCAGCTTCGATGGCCGACCTCGTGGACGACGATTTGGACGAGCTCGAAGCCAAGGTACGGCTGCTCATCACAACCCCTCAAAACGTAAACTTCATCTTAGTTGGACGAAGCGTTAAGGCAGAACGAGCAAGTGGCGCACGAAAACGAGTTGTTGGAGTCGTTCTTGAAGCGAAATGCCCAGGTAGATACACATCCACCCCACCCCACCCCCCCGCCCAATCCGTACCTTTCATGGCTTTGCTACATAGCCCAACGTGGTGGTCGACGAAGAGGAGAAGAAATGGGACAAAGGAGGGGCCGCCAATGCCAACGCTAAGAAGCGCGCCAACAACTTGGCCGCCACCGTCAACAACAACCGGGGGGGGATGGGCCGACCTCCAGCGACCATCACGATCGAGCAAAAGAACGACATTTGCAGCGCCGAGCTCGAAGACGCCCAGAAGGAGGTCGAAGAAACGAAGCGGACGTCGGAACGACTGATTGACACCCTGCGTGCGGTGTTGGAGGAGACGGACATCCGCATCGCCGAGCTCAAGATGGACGCGTACGAGTTCAAGCGCGATATTGTCGTGGGCGCCGAGAACTTTCGCACGGGTAAGACCATTGCGGAAAAGATGGTGCGGTACATGGAGGAGAAGCTGCGGGCCAAGGACGCGATCGTGGAGAAGCTGCGGTTGAAGAACGCGACGTTGAAAAGCCAGGCCCAAAAGATCGACGCACAGCTCCGCCAAAAGGAAGAGATGGGCGACGCCCTGCATTACATTGACTTTCACCAGCTACAGATTGAAAACAAACAGTACGTGGCCAAGATCGAAGAGCGCAATGACGAGCTGCTCAAGCTCAAGCAAACCACGGGCAACACAGTGCAGCTGCTAAATACGCTCAAGCAAAAGCTCAGCGACCTCATCGACGAATCGGCGTGGCTACGGGCCGAGATCAAGACGCGCCACGAGCTTAACGAACGAGTGCACGCCGAGCTCTCGGGGGTGGCGGATGACATTGCAAAAGACGCCAAGGGGCTGCACAGCCTCGGAGCGCACAAGGCGGCGGTCGACGACTTGACGGACATGCCCCAGGTAGCATGACAGACAGTATTCGTTACTGTATGGGATGCAACAGCAACAGCAGTAGAGAATTGTGTGCAAAACGTGGAAGTCATGTGGGCGTTTGATTCATGAACACACTGACTATTCTTGGGTTAGATTTTGGATTTCGTTGCGCAGAAAGCCGAAATGTACGACTTGGCCCAGGAAGTGGCGAATTACGAGCGCAAGGTCGAGATCGCAGAGATGGCGGCCAAGAAGAAGGCGCGCGACCAGCGCCTCCAGCAGTTGCAAACGCAGCTGCACATGACCCTTGGTTAAGCGCCCCACAAGTCACTGCCTTCATCTGCGTCCATGTTCCACGCAAACAAGTTGGCACCGTCTACATTATCACATTGTGTTCTGTGAAACCTCCACAAACTCTGGTTTAGGATGTACTAGTTACTAGTACATAATTCAAGACACCACCAACATCGATGTGTACTCGACCATAGCATCACTGTCATATAATATCGATTGGATGTTGGAATGGCTGCTTACACTTGACGCCTTTGGCGGGGGGACATCCACCGTGGAGACTCTTGGGGTCGAGGTCATTGGCCCCAGTCTGCGCGTAAAAGAGGGCGGCGTGGAGGCGCGTGGGGGGAACGGCCAGCCCTTCTGAGCACTCAGACATGGCACCTCGGTCGATGTTGGTGACGAGACGCTCTGGCGAGTACGGAAATACTGTCTCCCCACCTTCGTCCACGTCGTTCAAGTACAGAAACAGCGTGACAAACCGGTTCGCTTCTTGGTACTTGAGTTGTTGAGGGGTGCTGGAATCAAAGCCCAGTAGGACACATATCTTAGCATGACTAGCCATACGCTTACTCGTAGTCAAAAGCTGGCCCGGCATGCGTGGCAAATACTTTGGCAATGAGGGGAAACAGGTCTGGGAACTCCGCGAGCACGTGCAAGAGCGTTTCGTTGGCGTTCTCGTTTTCCAAAAGCCAGTCCACCCAGTCTTCTGATTCGTTCAAGGCAACCAACAAGTCATGTCGCGAATATGCAGCGATCATCCATTTTAACAACTAGAATCAAATAACACATCATTCACGAGCCATAAAACTACTACTAAAACCAAAACCTGCGACACTGTACAGGACAACCTACTTTAGTTTGAAAGTCGCGGGTAAACTTGGGATAGTGTTCTCCAGACGGTTGAAACGCCGGCGAGACAGTAGTCGGTCCGAGCACTGCCACCCGTTCTTTGGCCCATCGCAGCCATCGATGGAATTGGGTCACACCACTCACTCCTTGTGGGGGTACACTACACAACGATAATCCTGTCAGGTCACTGCAATAACACCCTGATCAAGTGACTCATACTTGTATGGCTCGCCATGGGGGTGCCGTCGTTCGTACGATTGAATCACGAGGTGGAGTCCAACCATCCCTTTTTCTTGGATAAACTCTTGCACTGCTTTGTGGTTGTTCTCATTCGCAGCAGCATAAAGGTACTCTTTCCAGTCGGTGGCTCCCATGCGTGCAAACAAATCGGTCGCCGCCGCATCCTCCAAGAACGCCGCCAAGAGCGTCAGTTCCCAAGCCGCCAGCTCCGTCACGGGAGGTACTTTAGCTAGCCCGTTCTCCTCCCCGTCCTCTTGATCGTCCCCGCCTTGGCGCCGCAAAAACTCGAGCCAGTCGGCATACAAGGCAGCGGCGGTGCGTTTTCGGTTAGCAAAGTCCTTCGAGTCATAGTAATCTTCGTGGCGGCGGAACCACTGCCCTTGCTCATACCGCACCAGTTGCAGCCGCTCGACAAACGACGGACTCGGCAGCCGCGCCAGACGTGCCGTCCGACGCTGGAAGTCCCGCGTGAGCGCCGAATCGTTCAGAAATCCCGTAAAACTCGTCCGGTCATCGTCGTAGTCGCTGCCGTCCTCGGCGCCGACCACCGGCGACCGTTCCAGGTGCCTCCCGCCGTCGGCAATGATCACGTCGGCTTCGTTGGATTGAAAAAAGTGCTCCACGTCAAACACAAGCGGTGACAACGACAACGTCGTGAGAGTCACGCTGCTGTCCACGACCCGCGAGTATCCCACTGCGATGCCTGGCCACACCCACAGCTGAAAATCGGTCAGAATGTACGCCACGCGACCGCCTTGATCCAAGTCCGCGGCGCTGGCGATGGGGTGTCCGTCGAGGTTGTACAGACGCAATCCATTGGGAAAGAGCGCCGAGTCCGCCCCCAGCATCGACGCGGCCGCTTCGGCCAATTCAAACAGGCAAGATGAACCCCCGTCCGAGGGGAACCACTCGAAGAGCAGGCCATGGTTGTCGCCGTTCAAGAGGAGAAGGACGTGGCCTGAAAGGCGAAGGTCTTGATCCAAAGCATACTCGATCGACACGAACGAATCCGTGCCGTAGTTGTGGCCACTTGGATATGCAACTGACGGTGGGTCGCAGGATGCGTCGGGAAACAACAGCGTGCGCGGTGTCATGGCCACGATATCGCTTTGGTACTTTGGTGGAAGTGGCACGGATGTGTTGTCCATCGTGAGGCCTCGGGGATGACTTTTGGAAGAGGATGCAAAGTTGGATGGGGACGACTGCGGGACGATGTAGAAGAGCGCCGCGGCAGCAATCCCAACAGTAAAGGCCAACAAGACGTTGCCGCTGGGCACGCGCCATCCAGTGGGAGCAGTTCGGGACTGCTTCTCAATAGAGGTCTTCTCCACCGGCTCCTCAGCTGTCGTGCTAGTGGCACAGTGCAGAGATGGCTGATGCGTGACGGTGTCTTCAGTTGACATAATGTAGTTGTCGGATTGTGATTAGTATTTTCGCAATTTTGAAAAAGTAGGCAAAACTGAGTCAGTAAGTCTGGATGGAAACAAAAAGCCAAAATCTTCGATATTTTTGAAATTTCTATCAAATCGGCAAGTGAAAAATTCTCTGCTGGGTGCAAAATTTGGCTGTTTTGGCCAAATTTTGAATCCATTTTTTGGAAGTTTTTAGCGTATTCACAATTCTCTGGCCCAAATGTTTGAAAAATATTTTGGAACATTACCATCCACGCTTTAAGGCAGGGAACCATCCACGCTTTAAGGCAGGGATGTTATCCGAACTATTTTCGAGGATTCTGAAAATATATCAAAAATATTTCTTAATTTCTATCGAAAACGTGCAAAAGCAGGAACGGACACTCAAAAGCAGGGATGAATCATCCCTGCTTCAACTCAGGCGTCCCTGCTTTTGACGTTGTGTTATCCGGAAAAATTCTCGTTTTAGCCAATCAGGAGTCGTATTTGCGTGGATACTTCAAAAAGCGTGGACGGGAATGTTCGCAGACTAGCCCATTAATTCGGCAAGAATTGGGGGGTGATCCAGACCCACCAACTCAAAATTGTACCAATAACTAAAACTTTCATGAAAAATGTCCACTATTTTTTATCCGGACACATCAATTTTCTACGATGGAAAGATACCAACGTCGCGTGGATGAACATGCATCCCCACGCGCCGATTGCAGCCGCGTACACGTGTCCGTGGACAGTATACGGATTAAGCTGGAGCAATCGATTGGACGAGAAGCTCTTGGCAGTGACCAGCTTTACGGAGGAGTACGATAACCATCTTCAGATCCTCAAAGTCGTTGATGCTACGCCAGACATTCCAGCCACTGGTAACCCATCGTCCGTTGCCAGCGATGGTACTGACATGGATGTGGACGAGTCATCAAGCAAGGAAAAGGTCGAGCTTCAATCTCAGGCCGTCTCGGTGCATCCTTACCCTGCAACGAAGGTGCTTTGGTGCCCGGACGGCACATCAGCCAAGCTAGCCACGACAGCCGACTACCTCCGCTTGTGGCACACGCAAGGCGACTCGATCCAGCTCAGCGCCACATTGAGCAAGAATCGTGTCCACAGAAACTCCTCACCGCTCACTTCCGCCGACTGGAGCGTTGCGGACCCCAACATCCTAGGCGCATGCTCGCTCGACACGACCATCTGCATCTGGGACCTCAACGTACGTACCAAGACAAAGATACATCGTTCCCATCGTAATACCAGGTCTTCCATGCAGAACACCAAAGTACCCAAGAGGGAAATCGTGGCCCACGATGCCGAAGTGTATGACATGGCATTTTCAACTGGCACGAACGTGTTTGCATCTGTCGGCGGCGACGGCACCCTTCGCGTATTCGACTTGCGGTACGTTGTTACCGCCAAAATATGCATCGCCATACTCACAAGGATACAGGAATCTGGATTCGTGCACATTATTGTACGAGACAGCGGACATGCGGCCCCTTGTCCGTCTCGCGTGGAATGCCCTCGACACAAACTACATCGCGACCATGCTTGCAGACGGCCCCGCGGCGCTTGTGCTGGACCTCCGCCTGCCGTCCATCCCCGTCATGGAGCTGCCCGCGTCCCCCACGGACGGCCGCGGCGCCATCAACGCCTTCGCATGGTCTCCATCGTCCGCCCATCACATCGTCACTGCAAGCGACCACCACGACGCGTGTCTGTGGGACATTGCCCAGTCGTCGCAGCAACGGCGTCCTCTTGTAGACTACTCTGGCGAATCCCGCCACATCAACCAGCTGCAGTGGTCCTCTCGACACCCACAGTTGCTCGCTGTTGGCGTCGACGATTCCGTACAAGTCGTCCACGTGTAAATGTGTCGTAAAGTGAATTAAATAGCGCTATAACGCCTAGTATCATCGCCCTACCCTATGTACTAGGCCCCATACCTTCCATCGATAACTAGGATTGACGGTATTTTGCGCTTAGCTGCTGCTCGATGGCCCCCCCATATCGCAGGAACGAGAGTCTAGACTCCAGAAATACTGTGTTGCGTGTTGCTCTTTGGATTGGTTGATAATAATACAAATGCTCTTGCTTGAGTCGTCATGTCAGTCGTCAAATGTAGGATCTCCCAGTGGATGAAACACTGTTTTGTCCACTTGGCAGTCGCACCCGTCCACGCCACACACAAACGCGATGCCCGCATCTTCGTCGGACCTGTCGTTCACGTACACTTTAGCAGAACGTCGGCGGCCTCGCAGCAGCGACTACAACACAAAATCACCTTGACATATAAACAAATTCGGCGATTTCTACGCACCGGTCGGCGGACGTACGCGACAGGTCGCCGTGCTTGCTTCATGTAGTTCAACTGGACTTTGCCACGTTCAATCCGTCGTCGAATGTCGGCGGACTCTTGTTGGATGGCGATGCATCGTTGTTCCGCCTACGACTTCACCCCCCCGTTAGCCAAACCTTGCCCCTAGAGTTAGCCCCTCCCCCACCGCTTTTGCATCTTGTAGCTCAGCTTCTATAGCGTCCAAGTCGGCCTGGACGAGTTCGGTGCTTCGTCGCTCGATGCCCAAACAAGCAACGGTTGTCGTGTTGGTCAGCGTGGCATGCCGCAGTCGTTCCTTTCGCAGCTCGTTTTTGTCGCGCACCGTGGCGTCGTGTGCGACCAACGCCTTGACCTTTTGAAACAGCTGGTCGTCCGTGTCCTGTGAGTGCAACTGCAGCCCTTCGCGGCGGATGCTGGCTTGCTGGGCGATACACGCTTGGGTCCACGCCCCAAACGCGATCGTGCGGCTGTGGATGGACGTTGTCACAGTTTGCGTGCAAATGGCAGCCAGCCACTGATCCATGACGTGGCGGAACCGGTACAACCTCGCGATTTCCAGGCGTTTGCACATGACGTACAGCCCGCTCAGGGGCTGGTCTCGAGGGGGCGGAGGCAACGGGACGTCCACCGGTTTCCCCTTTTCCCACGCATGCACCACGGTTGTGCCAAAGATCCACCCGTAGTGACATAGACTCGGGGTCGCGGCCGACGTCAGCTGGCCCAGCCCGCTTGGCTGTCCGTGCGCCCATACCCCGACGAAGCGCTCCCCTCTGGCGTAGGAGCCGACGCCGTAGCCGTGGGGCATATTCACGCGAAGCTCGCCTTCGTAGATGAGGTCCACGCCATCTTGAACGATGCCAAACGTGTGATCGGGGTCGAACGACTGCAACGCGATGGACTTTCCACTCGTCGTGGTGGTGACCCCCATTGTTGTGACGTCGCAGCGGTCGCCTTCAAAGATGCCGTTGGTCGTTTCTTGGCGACAGAGAAAGGCAAAGTCGTGTTGAAGGGGACGAGGTTTGCTCACAAATCGATCGATGGCCAGACGTCGCGCATGTCGAGGACGATCCGGCCATTCTCGAACGACGTCCCATGAAAACCCTGCTGGTTCGATTTCTTGTGGTTGAGACGGTGGTGACAATGAACTTGGTTCAGCTGGACCGTACAAGCTATCTAGCCTTTCCCCATTCACGTCTAATGTCAGTGTGTCAACACTATCGCTAATTTGGTGGGCGATGTTGTTGTAGTCGTCAGCATTGGCATCATGATCCGACGCTCGCGAAGAAACATTGTTGCTGGTCTCTGCCATGACGGACGACAGAGTAAGGACCTCAACAAAAGCCTCCTATGTGAAACGGGATGTCGGTTTCGCTGGGAGTTTCACGCCTTTGCGATTATTGAATGGACCCTTGTCATGCCGCCAACGTTGTTGCGGATTCGAGCGATTGGTGGTCGTAATGTGACCGCCAAGTCCGGATTGGCGGGCATGTTCGAGGCCAAACTGAACCCGTTCGTGGTGCTAGTGGTGGGCAACGACGAAAAGCACTTGGCTGTGGTGAAAAACGTTGGGGCCAAGGAATTCTCGTGGGGGGACGATGCCGTGGTCGACTTTGTCTGGCCCGACGCATCGCCCCCCGAGATCAAACTGCACGTGAAAGACAAAGACACCAACAAAGACCGATACCTTGGAGGCGCCAAACTGTCGTTTCCAGTCGACCTTTCATCCAACGCCCCACAGACGAAACAAATTGACTTGGAGTTCAGCGACGAAAAGCTCAAGACAAAAAAAGGTCGTGGCCAAGTCACTCTATCCTTTGAGCGCGTTGTGAGTGACCCGGGGGCTCTGCCATCAACGGATGATTTGCCTATGAAACCATCAGTCCCGTCAGTTCAAACTACGGGGAAACGGATGTTGCGAATCCAAGCTATCGGGGGAGCCAACTTGGCCCCCAAGACAGGCCTGGAAAAAATGATGGATGCAGACCCCGACCCCTACTTGGTGATCACTGTCGCCGGGGTAACCAAATCGTTCCCCGAATTGAACAACGTCAAGACGAAAGAGTTTGTGTGGGGCCACGACGCTGTCCAGGAATATGAGGTGGCGAACGATGCGATAGATGTGGTGCTGCATTGCAAGGACAAGGATACGCTGAAAGATCATTACATTGGCGGGACGCAATGGTCATGGAACATGGCTGACATGCTGGTCACTCCAACGTGGAAGCAAACGGTGGACTTGGACTTCGCCACGTCAGACTTCAAGACCAAAGCCAAGGAATCAAGAGGAAGAATCTACCTGAGCTGCACCCTTATTGATCCAAATCCCCCCGCCAAGCCTACAGAACCATTGAAGGAATCGACTATAGCGCATTCGAACCAGAGTAACGCAGAGGGAAAAACCGCCACTGATACACCCAGCGGGCAAGCGGCTCCAACGTTTGTAGGGATCAACCAAACTCCAGCTCAAGCGACATCGTCCACAGAACTGTCCAGTCCAGTAGCAGGCACTGACCGTCCAGAGTCAAAGGCGACAACCTCTTCCACTGCCAAGGTTCCCGGTCAGCAAGTCAATGCGGCGAGCAAGCGCATTTTAAGAGTTCAAGCTGTCGGTGGAGCCAACTTGACTCCGAAAACGGGCTTGCAACACCTGATGGACGCTGACGCGGACCCCTACTTGGTGATTACAGTCGCTGGAGTAACCAAATCGTTTCCCGAGTTGAACAACGTCAAGACAAAGGAGTTTGTGTGGGGCCAAGACGCTGTCGAGGAATTTGAAGTTGCGAACGACTTGGTGGATATGGTGCTGCACTGCAAAGACAAGGATATGCTCAAAGATCACTACATCGGCGGGACGCAGTGGGTGTTGAACATGGCTGACATGTTGGCCACGCCGACATGGAAGCAAACGGTGGACTTGGCCTTCGCCACACCAGACTTCAAAACCAAAGCCAAGGAATCAAGGGGTAAAATTCACCTGAGTTTTACCCTTATTGAGCCAGGAGCACCCCCAGTGAAGAAGACTACAGAACCATTGAATGCTTCAATGTCAGAAAATTCGAAGCAGAGCCCGGTACCTGCCAGCGAGGCCGGGTCCAAAACCTCTACCGAGTCATCGACTGCACAACGAACCCAAGATTGTCCACCAAGCGACCCTCCGAGCGCGATAATAACGCCAATGACGACCAAAACTGCCGCTACAGTACAATCCACTACAGATGACAAGCCAACCAACCTGTCCATCAGCGAGCCCCCGGTGCAAATGACTTTGCCCTTGAATATCGACGCTACAACCAGGAAATTCAAACGGACACTCAAGGTGCAAGCTGTGGGGGGAAGCAACTTGGCCCCCAAATCCGGCATCGAGCGCCTGATGGACTCGGAGCCCGACCCGTACCTGATTGTCGTGTTGGGCAAAACCACGAAGCTGTATCCGGTGGTGGACAACGTCAAGACAAACGAGTTCGTGTGGGGCGCGGACGCCGTCCACGATTTCGACGTCCCTTGCAACGACCAAGACATCGCCTTGTCGATTCATTGCAAGGACAAGGACTTGCTTCTGGACCACTACATTGGCGGCGCCCACGTCACGCTCCCCATCACTTTGTTTGGGTCGTCGAAATCCCTCTTGCGACATCGAATTTCCCTCGACTTCTCCGACGCCAGTTTCAAAACCAAGGCCCCCAAGTCCCGAGGTGACCTAGTTCTGTCCTTCTTTATCGTGGACGAACCCCTGCCTGAACCCACCAAAGTACCCCCTCTTCGAACCCCCCCGTCCCCTCGCAGGGCCACGCTGAGCGCTCGACTGTACAAGGGTAACCTGCGGTTGATTGCTCATGGGGCCAAGGGACTGACACTGCCCCCTCGCCAAGTCGGAGTGGTGGACAAACGAGCTGACCCGTACGTTGTATTCCAGCTGGGCACGGAGAGAATTGCGTGCCCAGAAGCCAAGGACGGCCACACGGCGCCGTCCTGGGCAGACGCCACTCACACGTTTGCCATCGACACTGGCCAGCATTCGTACGTGGACATCTTGGTTCTCGACAAAAAGCAAGACCGGTTCATGGCAGCTACCCGCTTGCGACTGGTCGAGTACTTGGCGCCGCTTACGAATCAAATCAAAGCCACGGTTGTGGTCAAGCTCGACTGCGACCAGTCGATGCATTCGTCCGTGGGGAGGAGTGGAGAGTTGCAGCTGTCGCTCTTGTTTACGCCGTGGGGCCCCAATCTAGTCACATGTTCGTTCTCATGTCAAGTCATTCGTTTGAAGTCAAGGGTTGTTGGGCATTGTAGGGAAAGGGGCCACCGTGGGGCACATTCAGCTCTCCCATTTGTCAGTGTCCAACTACGCAGACGTGCTCTCGAGCGACCAAGAGATTCAATTGGAAATTTCCCTTCGCCGGCATGTGTCTGCCGTCCAAGGCTACGTAACATGTCAAACCACGACGATTCAGCCCATCTCGTCCAAGCCCAACACCCCCATGGCATGGCCGGACCAACTGTTGTCGATCCCTTACGCCATCTTTCTCCACGAAAACATGACCAAGGACAAGTGTCCTGTGGTCGTCTTTGCCCTGCATGACAAGCATGCCATTGCACAGGACAAGCCACTGGTTCAGAACGCTCTCAGCTTACTCGACCTCTTGGGTTTAAACGGAACCAAGCAGTTGCCGCTGCTACACCCCAAACTTCCTGGACGCGTCTCGCTTGCGTTTACTGTCGCCACCACCACCTCCCTCACGTCAAATCCAGGTAGTTCAAGAATGAGTATGGATTATTTCATTATTCAAATGTTCCATCAATACAGGGACCGCCTTTGCTTCCACCCCCGGGACGTTGCGACTGTTTGTCCTAGGGGCCCACTCGCTCTCAAATGTCCTCACGTGGCAGGTTAGTTGACTTTGCCTTCCCATAGTTGCATTCCCATCGTATTGATGGAATTATATAGAAAGTCACAGCCGTGGTGACGGCCAAATCGTGTTTGTGGGGGCGCGGGGACTGTGTCTTGGACGAAGTCGATGCCACCCCCGAGAGGCTCGTGGTATGGAACAGCACATATGAAGCCCAGTACCTTCCTGCCCAAGTCAAGAGTGCCGACACATATACGTTGCAAATGGACATTCTGGTCGGAGCCAAGGGTTTGGGTCCGCTAGACTTGCCCGTGCTGGCCTTGTTGCACAAACATGGGACTCGAGAGTTTACCATGGATGTCGTTCAAGGTACGATAACTGGGCCAGGAATGGAAGACATGTCGACTGATTGTATGGCAACAGACAACCTGCTCGTGTGTCGAGTGGTGCTGGCGTTGGGGTTTGACGCGATGGTACCTAAGCCAGACATCGTGTCGCCCCGCACATCGTGTGTGGACTTTGGCCCGGGGATCCTCCATCTCGTGATTTACAAAGCCGAAGGCCTCGTCCCGGATGGAAACATTGCCGTTGACGACATCGACCCCGAAGTAGATTGAGTTTGCCCTTCCAGTTTGTAAAACAAGACATCTATGTGTAGGTTCGTGTGGCGTTGAAGCCACGCCCCACGATAAAAAAAAAGGATGGTCGATCCAGTGCCAAGACGCGTCCGCTGGAGAACGCCGGTGGGGATCCAGTCTGGAACGAGTACCTAAAACTCGATTACTCTCCCAACAAAGACCCAACCGCGCCCCAAGTGTCGCCCATGGTGGTCTTTTCCATCAACGATATTCAAATGGTTGGTTGCAATTATTTGGTTGAACAATCTGAACGCGTCGTTGTCGTATACGGTAGCCAGGGGAAACGGCGGAAATGAACGTCGTGGGGGTGGCCGAAGTGCCGCTCGCAGCGTTTGTCGTGGCCAATTCCGAGTGCAAGTTGTTTTCGTCCAAACTTTTGCTTGAACGCAACGGGCAGCGAACAGGCACGTTGGTCATTGCAGGCATTTACGAATCGAAAACAGCCCCAGAAGCCGTGCGCAACGGCTGCCATAACCAGGGCCAAAAGCTACGCCTGGCGACCCCCTCCTCCCTCACCAACTTTGTCGAATCTAGTTACTGCGCAGGTCGCCTCGATATCCACGTGGCGTTGGCTAAAGATTTGAACCAGAACCCGCAGCTTCCCTATCGATGCGAGCTGTGTCTGAGCTCCCATGTTGACGACCGAGTGTCACTGCTGTCACGGCACACGGACACGACCGACATTGTATGGGACAACCAACTGACGCTGTATACGCAAACGGCCAAAGCAGACTTTCTTCGTGTGGATCTCTTTCAAAGGTACCCGGTCTCTTTTTGAGTTGGTTGCTATACGTTTTTTCGCTCACGCAAATGGCGAATTCTAGCCACACGTTGATCGGCTGGTCGAAAATTCCGCTGTCCACGTACAGCCAAGAGCCCACCAAGGCTTTTCGAGAGTACCACGACGTGGTTCTGACTTCGAAAGACAAGTCGACAGTCTTAAAACCCAGGGTACGACGACGACTACCTTGCACCAACCATTCACACTAAAACCAACATGCGTAGATCATGCTCGAGCTGTCATTTTTCACCGACCAAAGCCTGCAGACATTTGTCCATCGCACCGCGTCCACTTCTGGGGTCCTTTACGTCACACTGGATAGCTTTGACAGCCGACACGTGGCTCAGCTCATGAACAAGAAGCTGTCGCTCCGAGTGACGTTGCTCAACGCCACTGCGACGGAATCAGATCCAGACTCATCGAAGCAAGTCGCGATCTTTCCGTTTCGCGTGATCACCGAGTCCAAAGTGCTGTGGCACTACACCTTGGCGCTGGTGTGTCCGCCAGACTTGACGAAGCAAACCGCAGCCCAAGGAACGTGCCCCCTTCTGCGTTATGAGCTTCTGGACGGCAGCTCCGGTTCGTCGTGACAAATCCGTTTATTCTCTTTAGATGCGTCGAGGGTTTCATTGTCGTGTTGTGCATCTGTGTAGCGTTTGGGAAAGATGCGATTGCCAGAGATGATTTGTCCATCCAGGCTCTTCTCTTGACCCCAAACGCCGTGCTCACCAAGCGACTGCCCAACTCGACCATTGCTGCCGAGAGGGAACCCCTCGGGTTTACAAAATTGCGGCTAGTGTATGTTCCCGGGTCATCCACGCCCCCCACTATGGACATGAACAAAACTGACGAATCACGACGTGCTTTCCACGCCCAGTTCACTGACGTGCTTCCCCCCAATCGGGGTGTGTTGTCCTTACGTATCATTTCCGGCCGGAACCTCGCCGATGTCGATGCTCTCGGCGACCAAGACCCGTACGTCCAGCTTGGCATCGACCCGCCGTCGTACCAATTGCCACCTGGCAGCATCATCCACGCCCAGAGCGGTGTCTGCGTCAACGGCGGCAGACATCCGCAGTGGAATTCGCCCGTTTACACTTTGACCATCCACGACTCGAACGTGGAGGCGGTGACCATTCGTGTGTTGGATTCTGGCGAAGAGGACAACGTGCCAGACGCGGTGATCGGCTCGTGTCAGTTGAGTGTATATTCGTTGATTCACATGGCAGAGAATAACGACAGGAACCCCCCGACGCAGCGGTGGAACGAAGGCTGGTTTACCCTCTATCAGGACCAAGAACCTGCCGGCGACTTGCGACTCGAGTACCGATTCGTGCCTGAGAACGCCACCCGCGTGCGCTTGGAACCCCCGACCAAGTACATCAATTGCCTCGGCGGACGCGGTAAAATGGCGGTCAAAGTGATATCCGGAGCCAATTTGCCGTGTGTGTCTGGCATGGTACGGCTCCGCGCCGTACACACGTTATGACGAAAATAAAAATTATATATATTTGTACAACATGTTTATATGTCAATATGATTTTAATGTACGAATATGTTTAGATTCCAGCGGTGCGGATATTCGTTGAAAGCACACGGTTTGAACATGTGACACAGCCTGAGAAACGGAACCTCGTGAATCCACAGTGGAACGAAACGATTCTATTTGATGTCGAGTGGACGCCAGAACTCACGACCCCTCATACTGTCCGCGTCGAAGTCGTGGATCTGGTAATCCTATCAAATATAAGATCTATATATATACTCGCACATTGAATATATATATATATACTCCATCAGACATTGAATCTGTCAAAACTCACAGGACGCACTACGTAGGGGGGAGGTACCTCTAACCACCTACCGATCTTAGCCCATTGTACGATCAACGTTGCAGCATTTGCTATCCACCCCCTGGAAACCCATTACGGGCGATACGAACTAACTACTTTTCAGCTGCAGAAACGATCGAGGGAACCATCGTCCCTGCATCTGGCGGTTCAGTTTCTACCTTTGGACACCACTGCTGTCCCCTTGGACGACCCGTTTGTGCCGCCAGAGGCCGGCCAGATACATGTCAATGTCGTGTCCGCAGCGTTTCGAACCAACGACGCGTTTCGGCCGTTCGTTCGGTGCTCGCTACGTCATGACGTGGCATTCTGTCAGACCAAATCCACGCCTTCGTGTGTGTCTGACCTGGACGAGTACACGTTTTGCGAGTGGACGTCCCCGCTCTTGTTTGACTTTACACCATCCGACAAGGCAAACGTCCTGCCGTCGTTGGATGTGCAGATGCTCTGCCAACCCGAGGCAATTGCTGGTGGTGATGCCGACAAAAGTAGTACTTGTCTGGTTCTCGGCGAACTGGCTAACATTCCGCTGTTCCCGTTTGTGCTGCACAAAGGCCATGTCAACGTCGTGTGGTACCCCGTGTACTGCAAATCCACGCTGGTGGCCCAGCTCAAGCTCGAAATCCAGTTCCTCAAGACATCCCCCGTCCCGAAAGCCACCTTCACGGACGTGTTGACCGTCCAAGTGCTGGAAGGTCGGGCGTTGTGGTCGGCCCAGGACGCCAGCAAGGACGCCGACGGCGACAATGACGCACAAGATCCGTTCGTGGAGCTCGAATTCCTCGGCCATCGCGTGAAGGTGAGCCTATCAGTTGATAGACTGAGTGGTTCATGGTTTCCTTATTTGGATATGTTTAGACCAAAGCCCATGTGGATGGGGGCACCGACCCGTCGTGGCAAGAAACGTTTGAGCTGCCCTTGTTGGGGCTAGACCCGTCGATTCTGCCGGTGTTGACTTTGAAAGTGTGCAACCAAGACATCAAGCGACTAGGCGACGGGGTCATCGGCACCTGTCGATACGTGGTGCCCACAGAAGTCGTGCGCGACGGCAAACTCCGGGACGTGTGGCTGACCTTGTCGTCAAGTGGGTCCAATATGGGATCGAAGGATAGCGATTTGGACTTGGGGAAGATCCATGTGCGCTTGAAGCGTGGCCACTTGGACACTTGTGGGTTGTTTGTCGACACGGTCAACGTCAGCTCGGCAGGGGAAGACACGAAAGAAGCGCCGAATTTAGCGGGGGTGCTGTACATATTTGGCCCAACATCGCTGGACGTTCGAGCCGCGTTGAGGCGTCCAACGTCCTCGTCCGGAGAGGCAACGACATCGTTCTGCCTGGCAGACATGGGGGTCCTTCCCGTGCCGTGGCAGGACGAGCCTCTCAAGCGTCACTTCCCCCACACCGACTTGACGTTGACGGTCGACGTTCCCAAGACTGGCCAACAACTCACCATGACAGCCGACGAAGTGCAAGCTGTCTTTCGCACTCCGCGACGGGAATTTCTTCGGTCGAGCGACGACGATTCAACGGGCAAAACAAACGCCGCCAGCGTCAAGGCGGTCGAGTTCAGTGTCTTGTACATGGCACCGACCCAAGGCCTCGTTCAGGTGTCCATCGCTCAGATCGACGGCGTGGCTGTCAGACATGGAAACGCGTACTACGTCGAGTTTCGCGTGCTGCGCAACAGTCCGTGGGTCAAGTCCCCGATCACGAAAGCGACGAGCGAAGACAAGTCCGAGGATCCGTCTTTAGTGGTGTGGAAGTCTCACGTATGTCGGGAGCTGCAGTACTCCAACTTTAGGGAACACATGCCCCCCACTCTCCAGCTCGTCGTGTACACCCAGGACAATCCGTCGTCAACGTGGACCAAACTCGCGTTTGGACAGCTGAATTTGTTACAGTACATTGCGTCGCCGTCGCAGTACCCCACCGAAACCATACCACTCACTTGTGTGGGAAAGAACGGAAGCAATGCCAAAGCTATTGCGGCCATTGGATTTATCCCGGTGGTCGTGACCTCTCAAGATGACGCGGAAGCTAAGGCACTTCAACTCGCCGCGGGCACGGCTGCGATGAAAAAGTCGTTTCAGAGTCTTGGTGGCGACGAAGCCACACCGCTGGACATTGCCACGTTGCAAGCCGCTGCCACCAACGACGAGGTACCACCGCCCCCCACGAGATTACCATATTTATATATTCACGATACAATGCTTGTAGAAGTGCATGCATATGCTTGCAAAGGCGGCCGCTTTGGTCGGTGGAATGGATGCATTGTTTACCGCTATGGACACAAACAAGGACGGCAAAATATCCTGGGAAGAGTACTTGGACAGAATGCAAATCGTGCATGCGTTGGCAGACGAAGCGTCGACAAAACCGGCCACTTTACAGCCGTCCAATCCAGGCAACGACGACGAAAGCCAGGACGAAAGCGACGAACAACTTGACGAGGAGCCAGAGGCAAAACAAACTGCGACGACGCTGTCGTATCAGCCGTGGAGGCCCCCCATACCCCAACAACCAGGGCGAGTCCACGACAGCGACAACGATGACGACGAGGAGATAGAGGCCATGATGTCGTTAAAGGCGGCGGCCAAAACCCCATCGCCTAATTCAGCGATTTCACCCATGGTGGCCCTTCCCCCGAACGAAATCGTGACCAAATTGACAGGTCCCAGGACTATAGCACCCCTGAAACCCCGAGCGAAGGGCCCGGACGAGGCAGCATGGACGACGTGGAAGGTGGACGACGTTAGTACGTGGCTCGAAGTGGAACTGGAACTTCCGCAGTACGTTGGAGCGTTTGCCGACGCCTCGGTCGATGGCAACCTCTTGTTGAGTTTAACTCCAGACGACATCGACCAACATTTCAATATCCAACAGCCCTTGCACCGACGGAAATTGATTGCACGGGTAGGCGGACATACTTCGAGTTGAGCCACTGATTTGACTTTCATCCTTACCTTAGATTCAGCAACTTCAGCAGAAATTTGGTGGTCTAGCTGTTACGACTGCGTCTGCGACCATTTGCGATGACGAACTGCCCAATCCGACCCATCGTTTGCCTCAAGGCGACCCCAATCCTGTTCAACTCGGGGCAGAATCTGATCGACAGACAATTAAACGTCCCACCAAAGCAGCGCCACGAGTAGTGGTAGACCTCAACGCAAAAGGACAGCACGAAGTCGAGCGCTCAAAGTTGGCGTTCAAAGCCCAACGCAAGAAAAAACAGCAGCGCCACGACCAGGTGCAGACCGACCACGCCACAAAGCGATGGACGTTTGAGTACACTGGGGAAGCCAAGCCCACCCGCGTGCAAACCGCGATCGAAAAGGTCGCGTCTGTGCTAGCCAAAGACGAACAAGCTATCTCTGGCTACGAAGGCGCGATGCAGGACGCGCTCAAGCAAGTCGTACCCTCACGACTTCACATTCCACTTGTGGCCAACACGGACGAGATCGTCGAAGTCGTCAAACAAGTACGATATTCTCTTTGTATGTAAAGCAGCATTAAAACGTCGTGTGATGGATATGCTTAGGCGATTTGGAGGCACGCGGAAACGTTGTCGGTGGCAGCGACGCACCAAGCGGCGATAGACAAGGACGCGTCGAGCGATTTTGGAGACGACGACGACGAGGCGACCGAGGACATGAAGCATCCAACGTCGAGCCTCGAGCTCGTGTTTTTGGAACTGTGCGCGTTGAAAAACAACGGCGCACGGTGGCTCCATGAAAATGCGACACTGTCGCGACTTAAGTTCGAAGGGGGCTTGCTGGCAATGCTGGGGATTCACATGTCGTGGCATCAATTTGGTACAAATTGAGCTCATCTGAGCAGTTTAGTTTGACCTTGTGTTGACTAGACTTGCTCTTTCGACGGCTGGACACAGCTAACCAGGGGGAAATATCGTGGACGGCATTCTCGGCGGCATTTGGGGACCCGATTCCTGGGAACGCCATGAGCAATGACATGTTAGCTGTCAAGGAAGGCTTGGTGCTGATGCTTGAAAGACTTGAAGAACACGAGCTGACATTGCATCAAGCATGGCAGGTGCGTTGCGCAGTGTCGCTGATCCTTATATTCTGTCAACCTCACTCGCTGGTATGTAGGCATTCGACAGAGACAACTCGGGTGCTATTTCAGTGGCGGAGTTTTCGACGCTGATCAAATTTCTCACCCACAAGGAGGGCGTGGGTAGCTTGTCCAAACATCAAGTACGAATACTCTCGCCGCATAAGATGACTTTGCCTTATGTATGTTGTAGATTTACTTGATGATGGCGACTCTAGATGTGTCATACGACCGATGCATTCAGTACCCTGAGTTTATGAAATTCATCTACATTGTGTGGTCGCATCGGCTCTTGCAACTCCAGCAGTATCTGAGCCACAAAGATGAAAACCCGACAGAGTCGCACCATCGTGACGTGGTCAATCGCAAGGTCCAGCTGCGAAAGGCCCTGCGGACGAACTTTAGCCGCCCATTTCGCGACGCTATGCGATGCAGCCCTGTGGCTATTCCAGGGCCGTTCCAAGGCCTGCTAGCAAAGTTCCACTTGCAACCGCCCAATGCGGACGGCCACATGCAAATATGGCAGGTGCTGAAAGGCGAAGTTAGCAGTCGTAGCAACGCGCCAGCTCAAGTGGCACCAAAGCCAGCCAAACATAAGAGAGGTACGACGGCACATGTGTTGCCGACAATTAGCTGTGATGCCTGTAGCCACTGGCCAAAATACGCTGGCCTTGACCAAACTTACACGGCAGCAACCTCCGAAACGAGGCAATTGTGTGCTGCGAGCCCCCGCTCAAGTCAGCTTGGATGGCGATCAAGAACTCATCTACGACAACAAGTCGCAAAAGCTCAGCCAAGGCAATGTTCGCCGAGTCAAGAGCGAAATATAAACTTTTTTCGCGCAATTCAACCAAATTTTGACCGACAACTACCAACGCAATATTAGACACCTTTATTAGCAAACAGAGCAAATCTCTAAAGTAGCAACCGGTGTGTGAATGCATGTTGGTTGGCACTAAGGTCGACACCGCCTCAGACCACTTTTGTACGTTTTTGAGTCAGTACAGCTAAAAGGTCTACAGGTTTCTGGATTTCCGCAGCTATTCTATGTAACGTTAGCTTCCACATTTGGGAGGTCTTACAAGCCTCCATTATTGTGTTGAAAACAAAATGTCAGTGAAATTCATGAAACCTATTCAGGCATGCGTATTGGTCTAAATCTAAATAAATTTCATTGGATGAGATGATTTAACGCATGGTAATTGGGTATTTCTGTCCAATTAGAGACAACTAGATACACACCAATAAAAATGTTCGTCGTTGGCCAGGTCCAACCAAAGAAACCACGTACAGTAGGTACTGAAGCGGGGGGCGTACCGAAGTATTCTCTTGATATACAATATACAAGTACAGTACATTGCTTTATGGTACAATAAGCAACCGTTGTGTACAGGAGTACTGTAGTAGCTATTCTGTAGCAAGCTAACTTTGCACTAACACCGGATATTGATAAAAGAACCTGTATCCGGATTTTTAGGATCCGAAACGGTGGCGGTTTCTTGCTTCCACTGTCGAAAATCAATCAATCGACGATGGATAACGACGACTTCTTCCACGAGCGGATCGACCCAAAGCTGGACATGAACTCGACGGAGTTCAATGCAAAGGACTACCTTGCGTCCAAGCATGCGGTATATGCCATCAATGCACATTGCACTTTACCATGATTCGCATAAATGTTGTCAGGCAACCAAGTACTCGGTGCTGTTGGCAGAGCTGCAGTCACTCAAGAGGTCGACGTCCGACAAGACAGAACAATTAAAATCTCTAGTGGCGTCTCATTTTGACGAGTACTTGTCCTGCCACGAGGCCATTCGCGAAGTACGTTGAGTGTTCCAGTCACTGTAGCATTCAACTTGATTGACCAGGTCGCAGAAGAAATTCGAGCTCATGAAACGGACAGCGAGCTGCTCACGACAGCGTACCAAAAGCTCAAACACAGCACGGACACGACATTGTCGTTGATGCTCCAACGCTGTGAAGAACAGCGCAAGATCCAACACGCAATGGCCGTCCTCCACCGCTTCCGACCGATGCTCGAAGTGCCCGCGAGACTCCGCAGCCACCTCCAAAACCGCGACTACCTTCACGTACCCCTCAGACATGCATATCGCCATCTCAACCATGAACTTGTCCAGCTCGTCGAAGAATACTTGCAACTCAAGGCGAACGTCACTAAGGCCAACGTCGCCACGCTCCTCAAACCGGTTTGTACTCAACACCCAAATGCCCCAATGCCCTAATGTCTAGCATGAGTGCTGCTGTTCCAGGTGTTTGATGCAGCGCACGCCACGGCCGTACAAGCCAACGCCGCTCTGCTGCAAGTCATCGAATCTCCCACGGCTTCCCTTTCCACCCATGTAAATCAATATATTCAACGACTAAATCCATGTCACCTCATAAGTCCCCAGAGAGAAGCCATTCAGGCGCTGGATTGGCTCAATATGGTGCCCAAACCAGCGTTGGTGTGCGTCAAGCATCAACTAGCTGCGGTAGACAAGCAGCTGCTTCTTTGCATGGCCGCAGGGCCAGCTACAGACACTACCAGTTCAAAGCAGCCTCCAAAACTACCAGCAAAGCTCAAAGCGTCCACGTCCGCCGTGACCCAACAGCCCCCACGAAGCCCCGTGGAAATCGTGGCCATCTGTCGTGGGGTCGTGGCTACGATGAGCCACAGCGTGTGGGGCCTCGTGTGTGACACGATGAAAGCTGCGACGCTGTCGGCAGGGGAGCAAGAGGCCCTCCACGCGTCGGTGGTGGTGATTCTGACCACCACGGTCAAGCACTTGGAAGACCATTTGGTCGGTCAGTGTACGATCCCCGAAGTTACTATGTCGATGCAGTCGCTGTTTGTCCAATTCGACAGCCTCAAACCGTGTCCGGATTCGGTTCTCAACGCAAAACTCGCCGCCCTCAAGCAGCGGTGTTGCGTGCAACTCCGCCAAGACACGTTGCTGGCGTGTTTTGCCTCGCACACCGAACGGACGGAAAATGAATGGCAGGCATACGTCACACAAAATGAGTGGACCGCAGCGATCGACGTCTTGGCCAAGCGCTCCATCGGCCGCCCTGATTCGTCGGGGATTATCACAGCGGCCGCCGCCGCTTGGCATGCCCTGGTTCGATCGACCTCTTGCCTCATTTGACTACTTGAACGTTGCTTCCTTATTCTTCTGCTGGTTGTTCTAGCTGGTCAAGTGGTGGAAGGGGTTGCATCCGCTGCTGGTCGCCAGCATTGACACCAACACGAGTCCGTCTGACGAAGGCCACCGCACCGTGTTCTGTCCGGCGCTGTACGACGGCATGGCGGCTGCCCTCAGAGCCCTCGTGACTGGGTTTACAGACAGCATCCACGGGATGCTAGAATCGACGACGTGTGCCCCGTTGGTGGGGCTCGCCAATGCTGTCGAGGTGCACGGACTTTTAAGTCCGCTGCTGGCGCACTGGTTGGCTTTGCAGCCCCAGCACATTGCAGACATTGTCCAACCCGTGGACTCGACGAAAGAAGCGTGCTTTCAAGCCTTTCTAGCGCCCCGCTTGGACGCACTGGACGCGGCTCTACAGGGCGAGGAAATGCTCGCAGCAAATACATCGTCCATTGGCAACGACGACGACACCGACAACCCCAGCGAGCCCCACGGCGACGAGTCAAGGCAGTACCTGTTTTCGGTCCTGCTGCTGCTCGTGACGTGGCGCCACGAGATTGACCGATGCATCCCGGTGGGGGCGTATGGGGATTCCATGTTGAGGCAATGTTTGGCCAAGATTGCCAATCATTTAGACGGCCGTATTCGAACCGAAGTGGCGGCCGATGGCGGGGGGGATGGGGCGTCGACGTGGCGCCTGACGCATTTGCACGTCGAACTCGCGTTTGTGTGCACGCACTTCAAGCAGTGGATTCCCCAGCAAGCGGCCAGTTTGGAGTCGACCGTGCTCAAGGCGGCGCTCAAGACCAAGCGCGACGTTGTCCAGGCGCTGGCGAGTCAGTTGGACATGCAAACGCACATGTATCGGTTGTGTCTGTCCAGCTAATCCTTCTTTTGGTTCCTCCACCAAGACAATAATACTCGAAGTACAGTTGCTACTAACATGGTACTAGTAGTTATTCGTAAGGATTACAGACTACCCTAACTCCATCCTCCGCTGGCGCGCGCTTGTACTACACCCATGTCCTACAAATAGACGTACAGTTAGAGACGGAACCAGTAGATATAGACACATTCGTACGATGGAATCGACGGCGCGAAGGGGGCAAAGATCGACGTCGTCAAGTGCTGCAACGACTCGCGCTTGGTCAAGTCGTCCCAGAGTTGGTCTTGGTGCTGGGGCTTGAAGTACTTGGCCGCTTCGGCTTTGAGCTGCGGAATGATCTTGGCGAGTGGCACGTCCTGCTTGTTGTCGAACAATGACGCGAGCAACTGGTCCTGGAGGGTGGTTACGAGGGTATTGGTGGCATCTTGCAGGGCCAGCAGCAGGAACGGACTAACCAAAGTTACGAAGCGTTGATAATACATGGCGTCGCGTACCTGTCCAGGATATCTCGAAGTTCATTCAGCCATGGCATGGCGGACGCAAGTAGCTGGACGTCATCGATGGACGTAGTCTCCGGAACTGCCCATATGCATGAAGGTAAAGGATCGAAGTAAAGACGAGGTCGTACAGATGAGAAACGATTGCCACTGCTCGATGGACCATTGAGGGGCCACATGCAGCTCGTCCAAAAGACTTCGGAGGTCCGTAGGTAGCACGTTTCGCTTTTCATGGACTCGCCATCTATGAATATGTTTAGTCAGCCCGAATCCAAATGAAATACGCCGAAGTAATCACGGTAAACATATCATCCAAGTTCGTACGCGTGGAGTTCGGCGTGGCCGTGGACGTGCACTTCGATGGCTTCAATCAACTTGGGCAGACCAGTGGTGAAGAAGTAATCCATCGTCGACGACAGGAATTGGTGTTGCTTGGTCAATGTGTCCTTGGAATCGTCGTCGCCATCCACCTATAAATAGTGTGTGCTGGTGAAGAGGTTGCGTCGACAGGACGCAGGACCTTGGCATGTGCTGATGCGACTTTGTCGAAGGTTTCCCGTCCCATGATGAGTAGCTCGCAGTGCAGCAGCACTTGCAGCAAGCTATACGCGTAGACGCTCGTGTACAGCCGCGTGAATCCTATCGTGGCATGCATTGTCAAGCAAGTAGACAACCAGGAACCTACCGATGAGCTTTGCGTCGTCCCACAGCATGTCCCGCGTGTCTTTCTCGTTCTTGTCCAACAGTTTCAGGCTTTCCACGACATGTTCCAAGTCCAACTGCTTATAGATACGGGACTTCATGGAAGGAAGGAATCGAAGGAACGCAGCTTTGCATTCTTCTTCGGTCCGGCGAAGGTGCACACTGAGTCGCTGTTGCTCGGCGATCTGACGCTTGATGTCCTTCGTCATGTTCTCGGCTTCGTTCACGACGCGGCGTACCATGTAGTAAGCCCCAGCGCCGCATGCTACGACCACTCCTGTGCCCACGAGAAGGGTTTGATGCTGGCCGGCCCATTGACCTACTCGCTTCCTTGCACGGCAGACGGCATCCCACATCCCAAAGATTTTCAACGTGATGGACACATCAAGGGTAATATTTTACAACATTTTAATATTAACTTGGAATACATATCCAGCTCACTGAGAAACTATGCATTTAATTGTATCCTGCGACCAAAACCATCATGTCATGGTTCAAGAATGGAATAAAAAACGATCAATTCATGTAATTTTGAAGCTTAATAAAAGATTGATATTAATGTCTTGTCTGGTCAACACTTCTAATCACTGGTCGTCAACTTTATCGATAGTTAACGAGCCATATTTCATTTGGTTTTTGTATGAAATGAGTAGTCCCTCCGATCGCATTTAAACGGATAATTTATTTAATGTATGGGTCACTCTAATTCCGGCACAATAGTCACTCCACGAGTGGTCCAAAGCGGTTCAGCGGATTTGAACACGATGGTATTAGCAGGTCAAGACGCGTGGCGGAGCCATCCTTTCCTGACGGGTTGCATCAAGAAGCCGATTCCTGGCTTCGGAATCGCCGCGGGAATCTTTGCTGTATATCTAACCGTCGACACCATCTCCAACTTGGGCAACAAGAACAGCCACAGCAGCCACGGCCACAGCGCACCTGCCGTTTACGTCAAGGAAGAAATCGGCGAACGCCCTCGCTACGAAGGCTAGAACTACTTGTCATTCTGCTCTCGCTCTAGGGAGGAAAGCATTCCACTCGGAAACGATATCAACACGAACGACAACATCCCATGATCGTATCTCACTTGTTACATGTCGAAGTCATCGCTTTGGCGATACTTTTCGTTCTGCAGTTCCAACACCGATACCCGCGTCATGACCTGAGTGATGAGGAGCATCGTCTCCGCCTTGAGCTCTTCCTGCTCGAGTAGCTGCTGCTGCATGCCCATGTTAGTTTGGGCGAGTTGATCCACCTGCTTGGTCAGTTCGGCAACGCGAAGCCGCAGGTCCCTTCCACCCTGCTTGTCACGAGTTTTGGGAGACACCATGGACGTGAACAGCTTGGACGTTCGGCGTCGTTGTTGATTGTCTGGGAGGGTTGTGTGTGGTGGCGGCGGCGGTCGACGGAGGACCGCTGCGCACGACAAACATGCGCGCTGGGGGTTGGTAAAGCCAGGCATGGTCATCTTGGTTTCCGAGCTGTGGGCACTACAGATGGACATGCCGCAGTTGCGGCAGTGGTGGCGGTGCTTGAACATGTTGAACGGCACGCGGCAGATAAAGCACTCCTCGATGAGCATCCATGCTGGAGGCAACGACGTCGCTTGGGCCGGCGAGTTGTTGTCCTCGGACGAGTTCCCGTCCGACCGCTCGTAAGACAGCTCCAGTGGCGCGGTATGCGGCGGGGGTGTCATGATCGCAGGAGTCGACGCTTGGCGCGAGATTGTGTGCCACGAATGGGGTCGATTGCTGTTCTGATGAGTCGGGGATGTCACCGAAGAGGGCGACTTGATGGCCTTTTGGTTGGTCCACTGCACGTCAAAGGGCACGAGGCGCTCGGTGGCGCGAAGGAGGTCCAGGCAATCTGAGGATAGATTGCTTTGGACACCGAGAAGTGTGGGGGGTGTGCCGGACGGTGTTTCGACCCAAATGCTGTCGGGGTAGGCGGTGAGGAGAAGCTGCAGCGTTGGTACGCCTGCCCCGGCTCGAATGGCGATGTGCAATGGCAGTAGCTGTGCCTTGTTGGGGATCTGGACGCCTTCTGGATACGCCTCCACGAGACACTCGAGCAGGGTGAGCGGTGCCGTGTTCTCCGTAGCGGCCCAATGGATAGGAAGCATGCCATAGTCGTCGCAGTCCCGGGCACACAGCGGCGAAGCTGTCACAAGGGTGAGCAGTCCTTGCCAATTCGAAGCCTCCGCCAGGCGGATGGCTTCGTTGAGTTTCGGCATGAAGTCCAAAAGTGTCCTCGATCAGTACGCACGCTATCACGATTTGACCGTTTCAAAAACATCTTGTTCGAGCGGTTTGATTGGACAGCCCAAACGTTGACTCCAAAATGGCGGCAAATCTCATGGATTTGGGCGTTGGACGTACTTCAGCGAAACATTCATCACATAAGGGTTGCTGCTTTGGATGCTGCTATAATCTATCGATTCGCCATACAGCAGCACACTTAATTTGGTGGGGCATTCATTCCACGCCCCTCACTGTTTTCAGTTGGCATAGTAATGTGGGAGGCGACCTTTCAAGGCAAGGTGTGGGATATAGTTGTGAACTACTTCGATGCTCTATGGTGCTGGGGTGAAGCATGGGCTCACAATAATGTGAGTTTAACAACAAGGACGAACCATTTTCAACCGCGGAGCATGCAAACCCCCTCTATTCAATACGGCCGCGTCCCCAAATGTCTTCCGTTCAGCCGATCAAAGTCATCAACCCTACTCTCGACTTGTTATTACAAATAGTTCGCACAGTTCTATCTGAACGGGGTGCTCTTGAACATCTTATTGTGCCAGTCTCATTTTCAATTTTCACTTCCGCTCATGAAGCTTTCCCTCACGACCACTTTCGCAGCAGGTCTCGGGACGATTGCAGTTGATGTGTCGGAGACATTGGTGATTTCTCGAGGGTCGCCGCGCTCGACTGCCGCAATGCACCCGTGCTTCTCGTCAACGGCACGTTCACGGGCCCCACCATCACCGTCGACTAAGGGGATCGTCTGAGCCTGACCCTTGTCAACGACCGGGACGACCTGTTCTCCATGCATTTACACGGCATCAACCAAGTCGGCAGCCCTTCTCCGACGGTACCTCCGATATCACGACAACGCCCATGCCCCCCCTACTCCACGGCCACGCACTCTTCTATCATGACGGACTACGGCGCGTTCTTCTACCACTCGCACATCAAGCTCCTGGATTTGCATTTTGTGTACGGCGCCCTCGTCGTCAAGGCCCCATCCGCCACAGACCCATACGCGGCGTACGAAGACCGCGTGCTCATGCTGTCGGACTACTGGGCGTCCGACCTGGAAACGCTTCATGCTGGCCTTGTGGACAGTCCAACGTTCAAATTCGTCGGCGCCCCACAGTTAAACAAGTACATACACATCCATCTCTCTCAGTAGTTCGTTCCTTTATAGTACTAAACTGAATGTTGTAGGCTCTCTTGACTAACGGCAAACGATTGCTGGCAACTGCACGGCACCACACACGGCGACCTTTGTGTCACTGAACGTGCAACAGTGTCAGTACCACGTTCGCCTCACCGGGGCCACGTCGTTGTTTGTCGTGCACTTCTTTCGCATCCCCCAATACAAATTGACGCTGGTGTAGTCGAAGACACATACGTGACCCCCAAGGAGCCTGACTACATCAAAGTGCTACCTGGCCAGCGCCTGTCGTTCGTCGTCACGGCCGATCATCCCGTGGACAACTACTTCTGGTGCAAACCACCGGCAAATGGCGGGTCAGTCCCCCCACCAACTGCTTCTCCGTTCTTGCACTACACGGATGCACCTCCTCCGTCCACAACGCCATCGCTGATGCTGCTGCCCCCGATCCCCGAGACGGTGGGGGGGCAGTTTCCCCACTCGATCTGTCCGTCGTTTCCTCCGCGGCTGCTGCGCCCCTCGTGCTCAACGAAACCCAAGTCGCGTGGCGGGTCAACGGTACCCAGCGGCGGTGAGCCACCAACCGCTCTGTCTACGAGCACTACCACCACACGACGCTCCTCGAAGACGTGATTGCCAGCACCGTGTGGTCGCGCCCCGTCGGCGCTCGGCCCATTCACCACCGGCCAAGTCGTGGGCATCGTGCTGCAAAACAACGTCGCGCTCAACCGCGTGTGCGAAGTCCACCCATAGCACCTCCACGGCCACAGCTTTTGGGTGGTCAACAGCGGCGCGGGTGATTTCGACGCTTCATCGTCGGCAGCAGCCTCTGACGACCGCACCCGCGCCGTCAAGCGCGACGTGGAGTCAGTGTACCCTCACCATAGCGCGTACAACCAACCGCCAGCGACTCCTGCGTCGGGCTGCGGTTGGGCCAAAATTCTATTCGTGGCCAATAACGTCGGGGCGTTGGCGTTGCACTGGCACATTGCCTCACACTTTGCCATGGGGATGGCGGCGTCGTTGTCGTTGGGGGGGACTCCCTCCATGACCCTTCTTTTGTCGAACACTTGCGATGCCAGTCGGCTGTGGAAAAATGTCCCCATGCTAATATGGTTGCCAGCCTCGACATCATAGTACCGTACACTATATACACTGTAGATGTCGAGACAAGATCCACGAAAATACAAAACGCCGTATACTACTTCGAAGTAATAAATCTTGGCGCGTTCCGGAGTCTTGAAACTGTTAATCATCCTAATAGAAGTATGATTGGTCAATAGTATTCAATTCAAATGTTTTTATTGGTTGTAATATCAATAATTCGCTTTTTGTTTCCATCGAACGAGGCTATTTTAACCAATGAAATATTTCAACAATTCTTGAACGGGGAAAATTCCCGTGTCTGTCGGAAGTGTGGTGGCCATTCTTCATTCGCCGACAACTACCGGTAAGTGTCCATATGAGTTACTCCGATCAAGAGAAGCAGGCGGCGGAAGCGCAGCTCCTGCAGTTCCTCCAAGCCTCGACCACCGTGGATGATACATTCACGTATGCGTCGAAGCAGAACGTCAACCACGAGCTCGTCGTTGGTGTCGTCAAGAGTCTGCTCGTCGATGCGTTTGTGACGGCCGCGGACTTGTCCACGTCGTTCTGGGTGTTGTCGGAAGAAGCGGAGAGTTTCCTTGCCCATGGCAGTCCCGAAGTTCAATTGTTCCACGCCATTCCTGCCACGGACGGGGCGGACAAAGCCACGTTGGAAGGCGCGGTGGGCGCGGCCCTTTTCAAAGTCGCGCAAGGCGCGTGCATGAAGAACAAGTGGATTCGAATGGACAAGGCCACGGGGCTCATCTACCGCAACGTACGATACCGATCCTCTCCATGACTCATACTTCCTCAGGTGGCGTCGGTGGAAGACACCGCCACGGAACAACTCAAGCAGGTCGCGGCAGTCCAAGGCAACGTAGATCATGTGTCCGACAACGTGTCGAAGGATCTCAAGCGTCGCAAACTCATCTCCCTCCAGTACACATCCATCTTCATTAGCCTCCTCGTCATCATCTACATGTCGTCCGTAGAGTGCGCAAGTCGTTCCGCATCGGCAAGGGGCCCAACTTTGCCGTGCAGCGCAAGCGCCAGGCCGCGGGTCTGAACAAGGACATGCTCGACAGCGAAGAGTGGAAGACAGAGAAGTTCAAGCCATACAACTTCAACACGATGGGATTGGCGGTCGGCGGCGGCCATTTGCATCCGCTCATGAAGGTCCGCGCCGAATTCCGCCGCGTCTTGATGGACATGGGGTACATAGATTCTGCGACGGGTGTGCATTTGAAATGGATTTTAAATACCGCCGTAGGTTCGACGAAATGCCCACGAACCGCTGGGTCGAAAGCAGCTTTTGGAACTTTGACGCGCTCTTCCAGCCGCAATCGCACCCGGCTCGCGACGCGCACGACACGTTTTTCCTCACGAGTACGTTGTCGACATTTAAAATACATTTTAAATGTCGTGGACAGCTCCAGCCAAAGCCGTGTCCGTCCCCGAAGACTATTACGAGCGTGTGCGTGACATGCATGAACATGGTGGCCACGGGTCCATTGGGTATGTTGTGTCAAACATTTAAAATGGATTTAAAATGGTTTCCACCCCTAGCCACGGCCGTGGAGCGTTTACCCGCGACGAATCGTTCAAGAACTTGCTCCGCACCCACACCACGGCGGTATCGGCGCGTATGCTGTACAAACTGGCCAACGTACGTCCATTTCACTGGTGAATAGGGATTGATCGTGTTTTAAATGCATTTTAAATATGGATAGCAACCGGGGGGGTTCACGCCGCAAAAGTATTTTTCCATCGACCGCGTGTTCCGCAACGAAAGCATGGACGCAACGCACTTGGCAGAATTCCATCAAGTGGAAGGCGTGATTGCCGACTACGACTTGAGTTTGGGCGATTTGATTGGCGTGATTTCAGGGTTTTTCACGAAAATTGGTCAGTAAATATATATCAAATAAGCGACAATATATAAAAAAAACAATCCTTTATTCTGACTGACATGAGAGGTACAGGTATCACGCAAATGCGCTTCAAGCCTGCGTACAACCCGTACACGGAGCCGTCCATGGAGATCTTTGCGTACCACCCAGACTTGAAAAAGTGGACTGAGATCGGCAACTCTGGCGTGTTCCGTCCCGAGATGCTGCGCCCGATGGGGCTGCCGGAGAACGTCCGCGTGATCGCGTGGGGTCTGTCGCTTGAACGCCCGACGATGATCAAGTACCGTTTGAGCAATATTCGCGATTTGTTTGGCCACAAGGTCGACTTGGAGCAGACCAAGAGCGCCAAGTTGTATCGAATGTAATCATGACATGGCGTGCTTTGGTTTGCATTAGTATGGGAATTTCTTACAGTTAATAGAAGATGGGGTTGGGTAGATGGAGGATATTAATATGATAGTACCTGTATCATATAATAAAAATTGTACGTAACTATCAATCATTTCCAATACTGTGGTATAATACTACGTAGTACTACGTAGTACTAGGGTAACAGTTACTCATCAATCCCCACCTGCAAAGCCCCAGCCAAGCAGACTGCTCATGTTGTGCGCTGTAGAATAATCTCATACGAGGACTACACTAAGCACCTCAAACTAACGTTACTCTAATAGTGCGATTAGTATATATTAATAGTAGTATTCATCTCATATTACTGTATGCATCACTGTACGACACGTCGTTAGTGTTGTTATGCCAACCAACCACCATGTAAACAAACGTCAAGTGTTAAAAGCCCCACGCATTCGTGCCTTCGTCGGCGTCGGCATTCCACGTAAACGAGTTAGCTCCAACTACCAGTTCATCATACACACCATCATAAGACTGATATAAAGACAAGTACACTGTACGTACACTTGACGCCTTTGGACGGGGGGCACCCGCCGTGCAGACTGAGAGGGTCCAAGTCGTTTTGCGGCGTCTGCGCGTAGAACAAGGACGCGTGGAGTTTGATCGGGGGCACCGCCAGCCCCTCGGAGCACTCGTCCATGCCTCGTCGCTCGATGTTGGTCACGAGCCGCTCCTTCGAGTGCGGAAACACCGTCTCCCCGCCCTCGTCCACATCGTTCAAGTATAAAAACAGTGTCACATATCGGTTTGGCTCAAAATGGTGCAGTTGAACGGGCACGTCGTAGTCGAATAGCCCTGGGCCGGCTCGCTTGGTCCACGCCTCCACAGCCAAGCCAAACACCCGCGGTTGCAGCCGCAGGCTATCCAGCAGCACGTCCACCGCGTCCTTGTTTGTGATGATCCACGTGGCCCACTCGGGGCCCAAGACAGCTCCAAGCTCGGCTTCGGTTCGGTCTTTTAACATGTATTCCACTAGCTGTATGTACATACATATATTGATGTTATTACAACGGTATGTATCCAATCGACCCCGTACGTACCTTGTTCTGAAACGTGAGGCGAAATGACGGGTAGTCTTTGCCGTCTGGACGGACGTGCACGGGCGCGCGGTCGCCCAGATCGTCGATTCGTTCCTTGGCCCATCGGATCCAGCGAAAGTACTGCGACACGGCGCTCGGCGCGTCCTTGGGCTTGCTACATGACGACATTCAGCCTCGTGTTCTCCCATTTTGGGCTACACGTACATGTAATGTAACGATGGATGGAGGTCCACGTTCACTCTCTTCTCCCATGACGCAATGATATGCTCCAGCATGTACCCCTTGTCCTTGAGTAAGGTGTTGATAATTCCATGTGCTTGGTTCTGGACGTTCTCCGTGAGCCACGTGGCCCATGCTTGGTCTGCGCGGTCCGAGTAGAAGCTCGTGTCGATGGTATCTTGGAGGAACCCGTCTAGCAGCGCCAGTTGCCACGTCGCCGTGTCTTGGGGTTGTGGGAACAACCGCTCGCCCGGACGGAACCCCTCGGGGAGACTCGACACGTCGGCGTCGACCAGCGCCGTGATCGCAGCCGCCGCCCACGCGCTCCACGCTTGAAAGTCGGTCACTGCCTTGTCTGTTTTGCCCAGAAATGATTTCGATGTAAAGTAATCTTCGTGTTTGCGGAAGAACTGGCCGGCTTCGTACCGCACCAGCTGCATCCGCTCCACAAACGACGGACTCGGCAGCCGCGCCAAGCTAGCCGACCGACGCCGAAAGTCGCGGGTGAACTGCGAGTCGTCCAGGAAGGCCGTGTGGCTCGTCCGGTCGGCATGGTACCCGTCCACCGCGTCCGGCGAGTCAACGGGGCTCCGCATCAGTTTGTCCGAGCCATGCTGGATGATGGCGTTGGCTTCGTCGAGGTTGAAGAAGCCCTGGCAGTCAAACACGAGCGGCGACAGCGAGATGGTTGTCATGGTCACGTTGTCCACGCGGCGAACGTACCCGACGCGGACGCCGGGCCAGACCCAGATCTGAAAGTCCGTCAGAATGTACGCCAGCCGGTCGATGTCGAGGTCGGCGGCGGTCGTGATGGGATGCCCCATGCTGTTGTACAGCCGAAGTCCGTTGGGAAAGAAGTCGGGGTCCGCGCCTAGCGAGGTGGCCGCGGTTGTCGCGAGGGCATGGAGGCACCCCGAGTCCTTGGACCAGTCGAGGAAGATGCCGTGGTTCTGGCCGTTCAAGAGAAGAAACACCTTGTTCTCGTTGCGAAGGTCGTCGGCATGACCGAGGGCCGCGTCGACGTGGACTAAGTCGCTAAGAACCTTTGGCGCCGCCGTGCAAGACGCATCCGGAACAAGCAGCTTGCGCGTGGAGATCTTGACGAGTTCACTTGCATATTTGTTGCCGACAGGATCAAAGAGCGACGGTGGAATGGAGGATGGCAACGCGGTGTTCTGACCCAGAAGCGATCGCAACGTGACGGGCAAGTCATCAACGGTCACGTTCGACGTGCCGAAGGCGACGGCGGCGCCAACCGCGGCCAGACCAACGAAGCGGAGTCCCCAAGACGAGCCGCCGCCGCCAGACGACTGCAACGTTGGCTTCTTCTTGGCGCTGTTGTCATTCGATGCGTCCAGAGTTTCTTCAGCTTCCGGCTGGTTGACCCGAGGCGGCGCCGTGGCTTTCTTGCCCTGGGTAGTCTTTTCCACTGCCATGTCGGTTTGGTTGTGACTTGCCAAGGACGATTTGGTGAAATGCAAAGCGCCAATCAGATCGCAGGACCTGTGGCAGCGACGTTCTGGGCTCTGATTGGACGCATTATCCGGATGACGTTGTCAGGGATGCCTCCATGGATTATATTTCATGTATATCAGATATATCTCTGAACTACAGCCCAGGTACAAACATTCATACAATTTGTACTTCCAGTTAGTCTAATTATTGCAAAATCCACACTTTTTAAGCCGTACATAACCCTGTAACCAGGAACCCCAACGCCCCGTCCATACCTCAAATCCTTGGAATAGGCTTCATTAAACCTATTCCAAGGATTACATAACCCTTAGTAAGACTTCGTGATGGTTGTAGCCAATGAATGGCGTTGGCTCGTGAATGTTTGTACCTATGCTGTACTACGTAGTATACTTCCATGGATGGACGTTCCAACAATGAGCGACACCCTCCATTAACGAGGCTCTCATCTTTACACAAGACAGACCCGTCTTCACACAAGAAGCGCACGAACGTCATGGCGTGCCTTTGTTCTGACGTGGATGAAGAATGTCTGGCTATTCACGGTAAAGTGAGGTTTGTAGCAAAAAGCTATTATTATCGACCAATCCAATCTCGTCAAAATCGAATGGCAGCATCGGATTGGCTAGATATAGTGCATTTTTTTGTCACATCATAGAAACGCGCTCGAGTTTCATCGGGCATATGTATCCAACTCGCAGCTTGGTCATCATGCACTTGCATCGTCGAAAGGTTCAGTATTTGAGTCGCGTTCCCATGAGCGCCGTGGAAGAGAAGGCCGCCGCTCTCAAGGCAAAGGAAGCAAGCCATGCCGCCGCATTATCTGGTCAAGATGGCAACGACCAAGTTGACAGCACCAGCACCGACGAAACACGGTCGGCTAACAAAACTCCTCAACCCGAACCAGAAGCTCCACTGAAGCTCTCCCAAAAGCTCCTGGCGCGTAACGAGCTGTCCAAGAAGGTCCAAACAAACTTCAGCCTTCGTATGGTACTCCTCCCCATCTTCGCGGCACTCGCCATGGCAGTGTACAAGGTCAAGGTCGAAGGCGTCCGGTTGAATCCTCGCGCTCTCCTCAGTGCCGTGAACCCATCCAGTTACTTCGCGCCAGGCGTATTCGATCCCGCTGGCAACAAGTACGCGAGCGATGTCGTGTCCATCACTACGCGCAAGTTGCTTCCCTTGGACGACGCGGCAACCTGCGACGGATGGACCCCTCGTCTCATCTCACACGAACGCGTGCATGTCGACACCGCGCTTCTGCACGCCGACACCCTTCGCGAAGAAAACAAAGTGATGTTTCTTCTCAACGGCCAAGACACCGGTTTGATCTACCACTGGTCCCCACTCGACTCCACGTGCCTCCATGCGCTCACGACCGCCGCGGCCACCTCGCTAGGCGCGGACCCCGACTTCTTTCCCAACGGACTTCGGCTGTACAACAGCATGGGGCATCCCATCACGACCGCCGCCGACCTCGACATCGACCGGCTGGCGTACATTCTGACGGACTTTCAGATCTGGGTCTGGCCCGGCGTCCGCGTCGGGTACGTTCGCCGCGTGGACAACGTGACCATGACAACCATCTCGCTGTCGCCGCTCGTGTTTGACTGCCAGGGCTTCTTCAACCTCGACGAAGCCAACGCCATCATCCAGCATGGCTCGGACAAACTGATGCGGAGCCCCGTCGACTCGCCGGACGCGGTGGACGGGTACCATGCCGACCGGACGAGCCACACGGCCTTCCTGGACGACTCGCAGTTCACCCGCGACTTTCGGCGTCGGTCGGCTAGCTTGGCGCGGCTGCCGAGTCCGTCGTTTGTGGAGCGGATGCAGCTGGTGCGGTACGAAGCCGGCCAGTTCTTCCGCAAACACGAAGATTACTTTGAATCAAAAGACTTCTTGGGAAAGAAGGACGATGCGATTCGGGAGTACCATACGTGGGCGGCGTGGGCAGCGTCTCAAATCGACGCGTTGATGGAGGACCAACGACGTCGGGAGGCTGGTGAAGATCATGTCGATGACACGAGCGGGATCGTGCCGGACGCATTCCAGCCCGGCGGAGACCTGTACCCGAACCCCCAAGACACGGTGACGTGGCAGCTGGGCTGGCTCAATGTATTTCTAGATGAATGTGCGTTGAACAACTTCTTTGAAGACAAGGCGGACGTCGAATGGGGCAAATGGATCGCCGAGAACACGGAAAACCGCGCGTTCGGAGTGGTCGAGAGTCTTCTCGAGAGCCGCGGGTACATGCTGCCATACATGATTCAAGCTTGGGAACGCAAGATTGGACTCCCCCAGTTAAAGTACTCGTACGTACTATTTCATTATCGGTTCGAGTTGAATGATGTATATATATATATGTATATGATTGATATATATATATGTACTGTCCGTTGTGATCTATATGTGTGTATGATGTATATATATATATATATATATATATATATGATTTATAAATATATATATACTGCCCTTTTAGCCAGACTTTAATGGTGATTTGCCCGATCCATCGATCGATTGTTTGTACTGAATATTTGTATGGACAAAATGTCCAGTTGTGACGCCCATCACACTAATTTCAGTCACACACAACCAGTTTAGAACAAACAACAATATATATATATTTGTCGTCGTGATTACTCGTAAATCAAACAAATTGTCGAGATTGTTTTGTGAGAGTTATGGTTTTGGATCTAACACTAATTCTCGATACACAATGACAACGTTAGGCCGCCGAAAGCTCCAGTGAGCGGGGTGACGCACTACTTTCGATGGATTCGATGGGTCAAGGAGCGGATTCAGGACTTGGGCGACGTCGCGCCCGCCCACGTCCGTCCCGACGGGCCAGACTACCCCACGTTCCGTACTACCTTTCAGACCAAGGTAATCTATATCAATCATATCACAGCCACCACGATTGTGTATACAAACCTATTGAATTACTCTACTTGTATATATTAGTTGGCGGGGTACATCTTGGAAGATTACTCGGTGGACGAGTTGACCGAGCTGTGGGGCGGCTCTGAGTGGGCCGAGTGGCTGGCCAAGCATGAGTCGGACACGGATGTGATTTTGGACGGCGCGCGGCAGTTCGTGCCGCTGTTCCACGCCGCCGTAGCCGCGTGGACCCGCCGCGTGGGGCCGGACGACGTGGCCGCCTTGTTTGCGTACACTGTGCCAACCCACGTCCAGCACTTTGAGCCGAACCGATATGTGACACTGTTTTTATACTTGAACGATGTGGACGAAGGCGGGGAGACGGTGTTCCCGTACTCCAAGGAGCGGCTGGTCACGGGCATCGAGCGACAGGGCATGGACGAATGCTCCGAGGGGCTGGCGGTGCCCCCGACCAAGCTGCACATGTCGCTCTTTTACGGCCAAACGGGGGACAATAAGCTCGACCCCAAGAGTCTGCACGGCGGGTGCCCCCCTGCCAAAGGCGTCAAGTGTACGTACAGTGTCAAGTGGTTGATTCATCATTGATGATACTATATATGTGTGTAGTTGGGGCCAACTCGTTCACGTGGAACGCGGATGCCGACGAAGGCTCCCAGGCGTGGGGATTTGGAGGATAAGTGACGTGAACTGTAGATGGTTGTAGAACCCATACATATACAATAAGGTGAATAAATGGTTTTAGTTGTAACTGCGACTGTGTACATTGCTTGCTTGTACGGTACAATTGCGTTAGCTTTGATACAGTGTAAGCCAGGGGTTGTGGGTATATCGATGTGGCAACAGATGATCATGCGCTGTCACCAAGCAGACTTCACGTCCATGTTTCACGACTGCCGGGATCGTTGTCTTAGCCCATCGTTGGATCGATGGACGGATATGCACGAGAAACCAAACATACGCGCGTTCCAGCACGGATAGAAGCAGTGGCGAGCGCGACGCTTGTGTGCCGACCCTGCGCAGCGGTGGCGGAAGCACAGTCCACATGAGTGCAAACGCGGCGGCTCCGTCCACGATGGTGCCAAGGGACACGATGGCCGTAGTCAGATGAGCTCGACTCATCGGCAGTATCGAACGGGCGAGGTGATTCATCGGGGTAAAGCGATACGTAGTGTCAATCGCGGCTGTTCTCGATATGCTCCGGAACGCTCCCGAAGGTCAGCACGTTCACACTATATTGGACCATGCGCCAATTAGTCTGCGCAACCTTTCAAGATCCAGGTTTCAAGAATTTTAGCCAATCAGCACAATGCGTCCCTACGATTGGTTGAAACGCCAACCAATTCCATTGGCTAGAACTTGTTAACGATCTTCTATCCAATCAGAGGCCAGGAACAACCATTGGTGACAGCAAAAGGTCAGAGGATTACACTCGTCATTCTCAATTTCGCTCGTCGAACGTCATGTCCTGCTATCAATCCGCCGCCACGACAAGCAGACTTGCCGTGACATGATCGAGAGATTGCGTAGATGTGTACAAAGATGTAGGTAGAGCGTTCCAATGATTCCAATTTTTTGGAATTACCGTCTGAGCAACCCACTGCGGAAAATTTTGGCTGTTTCTGAGGAACTCTTGTGCATGTTGCATGTCGTTAGCCGCCGTTAGCTGTCTTTGGAGTGATGATTAGCTCGATTTCTGACACCTCTTGTATGAGGGTCCTTGCGTTCGCCCGCGGTGGACGCTTGGCCCCGCTGAGCAAAACTTGCTTTACGACTGACCCAAAGACCAATGTATATATGTAGTTCCTTGCATGTACAATAAATAGTTCGACGATGAGACAACATACAACAATGACTTTCGTTCTTCCTATGTAACACTGAGGAGACATGAATATCTATCTCTGAGAGCTATGTAGGTAGGTAGCTAGCTACACTCTAATCCCGCCGTAAACATATAAGCACATTTAACACAACTTTTAACATCGCGTGCCAGGCATGCCGTGCATTCCTATCTCGTGAGCCAAGTGATGACATTGCATCTCAACGATGCTTTTAATATCTCAAGGCACATATCAAAGATTCGCAAGTGTACATAGTCATCTCCAAATCAACTAAAGTTACCGGTAGTACTCTGGAGTACCAATAACGCTAACGTTAGCAGTGATTTCGGCGAAGTGTTAGCATTGATTTCGCCCAAGTCCAAAGCCTGAACAACTAACACTGTAAACCTGTAAGCCTTAACAACTAAAGCTGTACAGTACAACCGTACTGAGTAGTCCAGGTGTATACTTAACGTTATTAGACAAACCCACTGCAGTCTCCGTCCAAGTTGGCGCTCGTGGCGTCGAGGGCATCCACCACTTGCGCCATGGTCGGCCGTTTTCGCGGCAACGTGTCCATGCAGTGCTGGACAATCGCCAGAATTTGTTCGGGGCACATTCGTCCGATGCTCGGCTGGCCTTGCAGCGGCATTTGCATGTCCAATTCACACAAGAGCGCACCAAATGCATATACGTCCGAGGCGGCGGTGGCGCCGTCGTCTTGCCGCCGCAGTTCCGGGGCTACGTGGATGTCATCGACCAAACAACCGGTGGACGACGAGTCGATGTGCAATGGCGACAATTTCGCCGTTGGCCAGTCGATCCACACGCTTTGGGCTGTCACGTTGCCGTGCACGACGTTGCGGGCGTGCAGATACTGCAGCCCCTGCGCCACTTGCAGCGCCAGCGTGGCCTTGAGGCTCCAGTGGAGGTTGACGAGGTCGGCTCGTAGGAACGATCGCAGCGTTCCCTGGGAGCAGTACTCGGTCACGGCGACGACGGAGCTCGGGCTATGTGTGACATCGTCAAAGCCAAACCCGACAAACGGCACCAAGAACGCATGCCAACACGTGGCAACACACACGACGTCCTGGACGAACGAACGGACGACGGCGGCGTCTTGCGCGGCGTCCACCCGCAGGATTTTCAACGCAATCGCGTGGTACTGCTGGTACTGACCATAGTAAATCTCCGCTGTGGCAGTTTTGTCCAAAATCACTTCCCACGCCAGCGCTTCGATGGGCAGTTTGAAGTGACGTGGCAGCTGGAACAGCCGTCGCATCGGGTCAGTTTCAATGATGTCCTCGTTCTCCATTGAAGCAAGCTTGTTGTGGATGTTGTCGTTAATGTCTTGCGTGATGGAATAAGTAGGAGACGCCGAGTGACGTGGCGGCCGGAGCGTCGTCTGCAGAGGCGACAGAACCAAGTCGTACACACCTCGTGGCTTGGTTTTGACAGCGGACGGTTCACCCGGATTCACGTGGTGCGAGAATCGAGCGGTGGGGGGGGGTTGGTGAAATTGGGCACGGTCCCACTCGAGCTGCCGCGACTGTTTCGATCGATACCGGACGACGACGAAGAGGAGCACGACGAGGACGAGGCCACCGCCGCCGCCCCCGAGGTACCCCAACAAGTTGGACGACTGGTTCTGTTGGGGGTTGATTGGGGGCGGGAGGGAAGGCGATAAATCTGACAGACGCGGCAGCGGGGACGCGGGAAGTGGCGCCGATGGGGACGAAGTAGAGGACGGGGGTGATGTAGACGGTCGGATGCTGGGAGTTGTTTGCTGGAGGTCCTTGAGCCACACTTTCATCGCTTGGCTCTGGAGAGGAAAGCAGAACATTGGGTCGTTTTCCTGGAGGATGGGTCGGCACGGAATGGTCATGCCGCCGCCAGAGCGAGGACACGTGCCCGCAGGAGATTCGGCCTTCGATGCGTCTGGGGTCGTGTGGATGACAGGAACGATCGCGTGCATGAAGATCCGGGGTTCCGGAACGACGGCGGCAGCCAGCGCGTCCTGCGAGTACATGGACGCGGTCGACGAAGCGACGTTCAATCCTTTGGGGATGAACACGCCGCATTTGGCCCTAGACGCGAACAGTTTTGCATCGGCCACGGCGTTTTCCGTGCTTCGAAGGTACGACGACCCTATGGACGATGCGCATAGCTGGGTTGTGCCTGGAAACGTGTTGGGCGAGAGCGCGATGTCTTGCATTTGTCGACTGGAATCACAAGGCAGGCGGACTTGCACCCATTGGTCGGCTGATGATGCCCCGTCCGTGGCTATGATATACCCTGAGTCCCATAGCAACGCTTGATGCGCTAGAGGTGGCAAGTCATCCCAGTACAGCTGGAACTCGTCCTTGAGCCGAGCTAAGATTGGCTCAGGTGGTGGCAGCAACACCGATGGCGAGGCGGTGGCGCCCTGCTTGGATGCTAGCTCCTTCAAGCGGGCGACGAAGTCGGCACGGTCGAGCCATTGACTCATGGAAGCTGTCACGATGTGCTGGGTCGGACGAAGCGAGACCGAACGAGGCGGATCCAACGCACAGAGATGGTCTCGCCCCAAATGTCGTCAATCGTACAGTTTCAAAACCTGTATCATTGCATGTCCTATAGTAATTAATGGGTTTGATTATCCGTTTCGTATATATTCACTTAACATGTAAAGTAAGGTAGGACCTTATGAGTTGGAATTGCACTGTGTACGTACCACTGAGCGGTACAACATGTACAGCGCAATGTTGGCCCAGATTCCAAGTGACTATGGGAGGTACAATGTGGCACTGGAAGAAATCATGCATTCAAACAGCGTACAAAACGTACCTTGGACCTAATTTCCGGTATTGGTCCAATAACGTTAGACTCCTGACGTTAAAATGTGTAAAGATGTCAGCTCACACTCGATTTGTCGAACTTGGAAAAACACCAACATAGAACAAGAAAATATCTAGTATTAATAATACTTGTAAGTACTTTTAGTATTAATACAAGTTGTACTAGTATCGATTACTACGTAGTAATACTCAGTATGCTTCAGTATAAAACTAACGTTAATACCTGCAATCATTCACGCAGCCGATCCGCGATGGAATCATTGATATTGTAACGTTACTGTTAGTAACTACTACTGTAGTGACTTGAAGGTCATATATTCTGTGTAAAAATACATGATGATACTAACAGGTGTTAATTCGGTTTGGTTTGGTTCAACCTTAACAAATAACGATCCACGTTGCCCAGGTACGTGTACGTGTTTTGGAACTCGTCTTGAATGACCACACTCACCGTGGCTTTGCCGCCCACTAGGATTGGAGTTGTGACGTTCACGTCCTTGTTCAATTGCTTCGCTTCGTACGACCAACCGGGGGGGAGTTTACCAAACCGACTGGCCAATGACGGCAAGCACGTGAGGTTGAGGCTATTGTCCACTTGTTGCGAATACGATTGCATGATGTATTGCTCTTTCACTCGTTGCCCGGCATCACCACTTTCCCCCCGTTTGACTTCTTGTTCGCGTGTCAGTATAAAAACCCTTGATCCAGCCTTCCAGATGAAGTTGGCATTGCAAGTGACCAAGATGGGCGCGTACAGCTTTGTGGGGGTGATTGGCACGGCTACCGGAACTCGACCGACCAGTGTCATGTTGATGCCCCCGACGTTCTTGATGGCCTTGGCTCCCCCGGCGGGTGCGTTGTTTTCAATTGAATCCATGAGCCAGTACCGAGGTCCATTGAGCACGACAGCTAGGGACGAGTTGTCCTTGGCGTTGGCGGGGGTGATGGTACTCCAAATGGGGGTGGGGCAGTCGTTGAGCCCAAACGTGTTGTACACGTCTGCGACCGTGGATCCATTTAGGTTTCGGACAAATAGGACTTGGCAGTAGCGTTTGTTCTTGACGTCGATAGCAGTAGTGATAGCAACGATCGTAGCTGCAGCAAGCAAGACGACGCGATATGCTCCAAACATTGTTGGTGTCTGCAACCGTGAAATTTGAAAATGAGCAAGTTTGGAAATGTCGAACGAAACTTGAACGCGACATGTGTTTTTCGTGCTTGGGTATTATGTAACGGCTTCGTAACGGTTTGGCGGGTTGTATGCACACCTCTACAGTTAGGGACGAAGAATTTTCCAACTTTCTACTGAATCTCATAAACGTACTACCTAAGGTACGTAGGATTGGGCCTTGGTCCACATAGGAGTTGGGCGTACAATTCCACAAAGACTTAACCCCGTTATAGTGGTATCATCAACATTTGTAAGGCGGACTCAGCACTTTAGTGTGGTGCTCGTCACTACCTATCCGCTAACAACAGTATAAGCTAGGATTAAGTGCAATACTTATTCCTACGTGGTTCTTCTACGGCCAGCGTGGTAGGACATTCCAAGATCAAAATTGTAACTGCGGCATAGGGAGATGTGGGAACAGGTCACAAACACATCACTATGGAGAATTAAAGGTCCTTGATTCCTTCAAATCATGGTGTAGCATGGTCGAGGGAATACATACAACTTTATTGAAGTCGCCACGTCCGAGTCAGCCAGGAACTGAATCTGCCACTTCCACCGAGTCAAACGGCATTTATGCGCGCGACAGTTACATTATTATTCTTTTGAACATCTTTATGTTGTAACTACTTCGAAGTACTACGTAGTATTATGCATGTGTATTTATATTCAGCCCCAGAGTTTATTTACGTTTTGCAAAACGATTTTTGCATAAGCTTACTGCAGATTGCGCACAACTACAAGATAGCCCATTCATTACTCACTCAGCCTATGCAGCATGGTCTGCGCATGCACTGCTCTTTATGGCACGAGACATCACCGCATGTAAAATGCGCATGTTCTTGAAATACGACGAATTTGGCAAGTTGTCTTTCTCTACAGTTGTTGATTCAGGCGGCGACATGGAATACAGTAAGGTGTTGTTGATAGTACAGTATTGGTTGTTACTGTATTATGAGGAATGGAGTGCAGTATGCATTGAGAAATCGCTGACCTGCGTCGCGCCTTTCCCGCAACGAATAGTACAGTGTATTGCTCGAAGTATTATTGTGTCTTCTACTCATAATTTCCTCTGGCGATTGGTTGACCTGTGAATCAACCGCCGAACAATCGAGGGACCTTCGAAATTTCATAGTATAAAACTGAGTTCAAGAGGTACTGCAATGCAATATTTTTGGACCAATCATATTTCAACCTTCATTCTTTATAGCCAATCATACTCCTTTTCAAGATTATTTGGCGATTTCATCAATCCCCCAAAATAGGCAAATTTACTGAAAACCACAATACAGTCCGCGACATTCATTTAAAACATTTCGTTTTTTACGGATAACTTCGCCAAAAAGCTCGGATTAAGCTCAAATTAGCACCAAAATATCGGTCTTGATTGGCCCGATCTATTGGCGCCTCTATCAGGCCAAAAGGACGAAATTAATCGCGGGAAAACTGATTTTGGGGTGCGACAGTCACTCATGAACACAACATTGAACTCGTCAAAAATGTACCACGATTCAATTGTTAGACAACATAAAGAACGCTAGTACTTCGTCTTTCCACCTTTGGCAGCAACCACTTGCAAACATCGCTTTGGCATGGACTTAATCAACTTTTTCAAGTATCGGCGGTCAATAGAGTCCCAGGCAGCAGAAATCGCGCTTTGAAGCTTGGAAACGCTTTGGTACTGCTTTCCATTGGGGTAGACCTCGCGCGCCAGCCACCCCCAAACGTTTTCGATGGGATTGAGGTCGGGTGAAAGGGCTGGGTGGTTGAAAAGTGTCACCGACTGCTCCGCTAGAAAAGCCTTGGTGCTTGCAGCCGTGTGAATGCTTGCGCCATCTTGCATGAAGGTGAACGAGGGGCCATAATGCTGGTGCCCCAAGTGTGTCTTGGTTGGCATCGGCGTTCTGGCGGCCTTCCAAGAATGCCAACTGGGTGCAACCGCGGCCGGAAAATCCACCCCATGACACTGGCACCACCAGAGTTCCTCGTAAAGTACGTGTCCTTCTCGCGCCGTAGGTCGTGCCAATAGTATTGGAACCCATCTGGTCCATCCAAGTTGAATTTCTTCTCATCGGACCAAATGATCCGACTCCACTTGGGGGGCTTCAGGACATTCCGGGTCGCGTACTCCATTCTGGCAACCTTGTGACGGGGAAGTAGGCACGGGAAATGCTTTCGCTTCACATACTTGAGGTGCTGGCACTTCCGGAGGATGCGTTGATAGGTGCGAACACTCAGGTCAATCGCCGCCTTGAGCATGCGGGAGGAGCATCCTGTCTTGGATGCCTGGTTCAAAGTCGACGACGACGTCTATCATTCAAAACCTTAGACATACTACGCTTGCTACGAGTTCCATAGGCCTCTGGGTCACGAATGTAGCTATAGATGACCCCGCGCGACCGTCCAAGCCTCCCGGCAATCGCCTTGACGGTCAAGCCTTCGCCGCGGAGTGCATCGATGAATGCCCTCTCCCGGGCAGTCTAGGATGGTCCTTTGGACATGTTGTCGGCTACGATGGTCAAGCAAAGGTTGTTGGAAGTGATTACACGTCGGTTAGATATGTCGGCGTACCTGTGGGTGTCGCTCGAATATGAAAGTGACGAGTTCAATGTTGTGTTCATGAGTGACTGTCGCACTCCAAAATCAGTTTTCCCGCGATTACTCGGTCAAATTTCGTCCTTTTGGCCTGATAGAGGTGCCAAGAGATCGGGCCAATCAAGACGGATATTTTGGTGCTAATTTGAGCTTAATCCGAGCATTTGTGGCGAAGTTAACCGTAAAAACCGAAATGTTTTAAATGAATGTGGCGGACTGTACACAGGTTGAGAAAAGTGACACCAAAGTTCGTCCATTTTTGATATATGCGAATGTCGACATGTCGGAGTACAGTGCCACAAAACATTGACATGCGCAACAATAGAGGTTTTGCAAACCGTCCACGGACAATGCCTACACTACAACATACGTTTGACAAAAGCAGAGTCCCAACCGCCACAACTAATTAATACGCTCACAAGAACTTATAATCCAACCCTGGAATTGGCCAATTGTAGGGACATCTGTAGCTACTCCTACAACCAACCAGTCACTCCTGTCACTCCAAATTTCGATACGATTGCTACCATGTCGACACCCGTCACCACCGGTTTCTCGGAAGCTGAGGACATAATGATCTTGCGGGAGATCAACGCCAGGCTCCCAATCACAGCAAAACGAGGATCGGTCATGCTGGTGTGGAACGCTGTGGCCGACGCCGTGTCGATGAACGACGACTTCGCACCTCCAGGATTCGACGGTAAACGAGTGCTTAACAGGTTTACTTTGTTGATGGAAGGCCACCGCATGAACAACAACGCGTCGGCACGTGCGTCCGGAATCGACGAAGAACACGACGAAAGAACTTAGTTGCTCGATGAGCTCTTGGCGGCATATGAAGATTGGAAGTCTCAAGACAAAGCCCGACTTGTCGAAGCCCAAAAAGAAGCTGATCGGATTCACAACATGGGCACCACCATACGTGAGGAGGGATTGTAGTCATTAGGTAAGCGTAACTCGGCAGCAACGGATGCTGATGGTACCGGTGCCGGGGATCTGGTGGTGGCGTCGTCATGAAGATGATGGCAGTACTGCTTACCTCAAATTTCGCAAGCACCAGTACGCAATGGATTTAAAGGAGCGGGAAAGTGTACGTGCCATGGAGTATGAGGAGTGTCAACGTGAGAGAGAAATGTTTAGGGAACAAATGCGCCTGCAGCATGAAACCTTAGTGGCGATCTTGCAATCCAAGAACCATAACGTTTAGAAAGAAAATGAAATATTGTAGTTAAATGTCTACAATATCAAGCGTGTCGAGATAAATCTCAAGACTTGGTGGATCGGGTTGAAGGCATCGAGGGGACCAGGGTTAGGGTTGTATTGAACCTCCACCTCGACACCGTAGCGCTGGCATGCAAACAGGAGGTCTGCCTTGCGCCAAGTTCCTCGGGGTGTGTCTGCAGGTAGTCCTTTATGCCATGAGGTCGTTGACCACACGGATGCGTGTCATGCTGCGTGGCCGAATGAATTGTCGGACTGTGGACACAACGGCATGCTTGCGCGGAATGTAAGTTGGACGTGTTTGTCTGTTGGATGGTGGAGGGACAGCGAAGACCTTCTTCGTGCGGAAGTAGTCGGACCACACTTCCTTTATGATTACTACGTAGTATTCGGCTGCGTCCAACAAGGCGTGCAATAGTAGATGAAACGTTGTGTGCATTGTCGCGACGGAGTTCAGCATGAAGACGGAGAATATCATGACATTCTTCTTTAGTTAGCTTGGTCGCTGCAGCCGAATGTAGCCGGTGATGTCGACGTAGTCTTTGTCAGTGATGGAAGTTCAGTGACTGGCAGTGGAAACTGGGCAAGGTATAACTCTATGGAGGTGACGGTTTTATGGTATATTTATTTAAATATTTACCTTTCCAAAATTATTAATAATTGATAGAGGTTATGTAAGATATTTGACAGCTTTTTTGTTCTCGTCGTACCATATCTCGCAGGATATTATTTTCTGAGGCGTACGCCTAATGAATGTTTTGTTGCTCCAATCAAGTTACACACACATACAAAATTTCATAGAAAAAGGATGTCTCGAACTTGAGATGTGTGCTTCACAATCAATGATACTGTAGTACTCCTTGAAAGTCACATATTAGGGTACTCAATTTAGGAAAAATATTCAATGTTCACTTTCGATTCTACTTTTCACTTCCTGTTTTTCGTCACGAAATCCAAAAGCACCTTGCGAGGTGCTTTGGGTTCTTAAGAATCAAAAGCAACTTGAAGTTGGTGGAGTCCACCCATGTAACGATCAAAATACCAAATCATCGCAGTCTATTCCATGGCATACAAATACTAATACAAACACGAAAACCCAGCGCCAGTCACCAATTGTCAACCGAGAGCCTAAGTGCAAGTGACGAAATCAGGTGTCGTGGGGAGCATTAAGCGCGAGCTTAGGTTACAGAAGGCGTAGCGTAGGTATAACGAAGGTTACTTCAATTATATGGCCGCAGTAGGCATTGCAGAAGAGTCACGACCTACAGCTGCCATTCAATGTTGAGCCTCACTGATTGGGTGTGGCGGTTAACCGGAAAACCGGATATTGTTCCATCTGTTACGGCCTGTTTCACGTCCAAATCTATATCAGGGGCAAAGCAGGAACCTCCACAACTGTGGCAACTTCATGTTCCAAAAAGGGAAGCTGTCAATGCGCTGCTACATTATATATACAATACCATGCGGTCCAGCCATCCACTGGCCGACATCATATCACATAAATACAGCAATACATGCAAGATATATGTGACAGTAAACCAACTGTGACACGTCTTTCCACGTCGAATAACGTGGCCCATACGGTCTGATACATGAACGAACCGGCCCGAACCCCCCCCGGTTCACTCCCAATGGATGCCCCACCGGTTCGTTTCAAGGATGACCGCTTCCTGAACGGCCGCTGGTGGTGCCACCTCACAGTCGACCGGCAAAAGAACCCAGCACAGTGACACACGGAAGCCAGGTGCTGATAACGCCAAAGTCTTCAGCCTACATGGATGATACTATAGTGATACATTGACGAACGCAAGAAATGAAAATATGCGCCAAAGTCTTCAGCCTACATGGATGATACTATAGTGATACATCGACAAACGCAAGAAATGAAAATATACACGTGAAGCTTACATGGTTTTCACGTTGCGCAACGTCGTCGAAACATGAATCATACATGAACGAACCGGCCCGGACCCCCCCCGGTTCACTCCCAATGAGTGCCCCACCAGTTCGCATCATCATGTACAGCGGTGTGTCGTTGTTACGTGACGCACTAGTGAGCTGTGGGGGGTCACGTCACGGTCAACACCATTGGCGTCAAGATCACTACAACTAAATTTGAGCCACATATGTATACCGTTGATCACTACCTTGTCATCACAATCCGTGCATGGAATAGTGCTCCAAAATGATCTCCAAATGAGCGGAATGTTGCTGTGTGGAGCCACCTCACAGTCAACATCCATAATCATGACTACAATTTGACGTGAGAATATGGATATAGATATTATATGATCATTACCATACGCCTCGAAACTTAAACCCCGATGAGGGCACGCAAACATGTCGACAACAAACTTGGTTTGCACACAAACGGCGCCCCTGAGGGCCTGCAAAGATCAGTGTCATCAGCCGGAGTCTCGCCAACCAACTTTACATGGAACCTCCCTACCAGAGTGAGGAGGTTGGCTAGGCCGATCGATCCTGCGTGGGCTTCAACGTCGCCACTCTGCATGTGTACTCACCGCATCGCTGTGGCCACACTGCGGCGGAACTCGATAAAATGAGGTCCAGAAAACAGGGGAACGGTGGCTGAACAAGTTCACGGAGGAGTTCGAGCAGCCAGAGGATGCTCTTTGCGGCTTCGGCTGCCGCGATGAACTCGACTTCCGTCGTGCTTTGGCCGACCAAGCTTTGCTTGCGAGACATGTAGACCGCAGCGACGCCAGCGAGCATGATGACGAAGCCAGTAATGGATTTGCTGTCGTTGTTGTCATTTGCAAAGTCGGCGTCATTGTATGCGAGAGGTGTGCTGGGAAAGCACCCGTCTTAGTGCAAGCCTAGGATCGACGTCCCAGACAGATACTTGAGGACACGTTTAGCAAGGCGCCAATGGATCTGCGTGTGGCCGTGATTATGTAAGGTCAGGTATCGTACTGCGGTTGCGATGTCCGTCCTTGTCGCTGATACCAGATACTGTAGCGCTCCAACAAGGCTTTGGTACGGGACGTGGCGTGTGTCGGGTGCATCAACGGTCGGGACACCTTGTACTTGAGGAGTTGGAGCCGGATGGCAGCCAGCCATGTTGAAGCGAACAAGTAAGTCTTGAATGAAAAGGTGTTGGTGCAGGGTACGCGCTTGGCGGTCCCGTTGAATCTTGATGTCCAGTAGGAAGTCCAGCTCGCCCTTTTCAGTTGTGGCAAATTGCCCTTCGATGGATGTTTTGAGGCGCGAAAGTACCGCGGCGTGTTACCGGCCAGTGTGATGTCATCCACGTACACGACAAGGTAAGCCGAAACTGCATTGTCGTCATCGCGGAGGACGTAGATGCGTCGATCCTTGTTGCATCGCTTGAAGCCGAGTGTGCAGAGAAAAACGTCGAGTTTCTTGTGCCATTGTCGCTGCGCTTGTTTGAAGCCGTACAGCGTTTCTTCAGTAGGCAGACTTTGCCTTCGTCTCCAGGTACTTCAAACCCTTGAGCTGCACCATGTAGATTGTCTCATCCAATTCTCCGTTGAGAAATGCAGTCTTGATGTCCAACTGAACAGTCTCCAAGTCCAGCGTTGCGATAATGGAACAGCTCGATTGGGCTTCAAAGCGCTTTGGAGCCTTGATAGTACGTTTTCTGCGCATCATAAGGGGTTCGTCTGATGCAGGCCTTGTGCGAGTAGCAGGTGCTGATGTATCGTCGGGGTCAACAAATCCGACAGATTTGAGATCGTCGGCCGACGTGATTCCTGAGATCGCGTTGGACTGAGGTACACGTAGGCGGCCATGGGCAAAATCAGCATTTGCAAACATGTCCGCGTTGCGAACTTTCGACTCGTTAAACGTAACGGAGCGTGATACAGTGACGGTCTTGTCCTTAGGGTTCCAGAGCTTGTATCCAAGGCGGTCGTATGCGTAGCCAAGGAAGACACATGGTACGGCAGAGTTCGAGAGTTTCCCTTTGCGTTGTGACTTTGGAATGAACTTGTATGCCGGGCATCCAAATGTCTTGAGCATGTACAAACGGCTGGGCTTTGAGAACAGGCCTTCAAAGGGCGTTCGTTGGTTGAACAGTACTTGCGGGGTATTGTTGTACACGAAGACGACGTATTTGAAGCAGTATCCCCACAGGGTAGAGGGAAGGCTGCTGATGGTGAGGTACGAGGTACGTCCGTATCTTGTTGAACACAAACTCGTTGGCCTTCTCGGCCTGGTGGTTTTCTTCAAGTGTCTTGACATTCGTAAACTTCTGGCGGATGCCTCGGGCAAGGCAGGCAGCTTTGAACGCGGAGCTTGTGTACTCCCCACCCCCATCGGTATGCAACATACGAACACGGGCATGTGGGAGTTGCTAGTTGAGGTCGCTCACCAGTGCATCGAGGTGTAGGATGGTGTCATCCTTTGTCTTGAGTAGCTTGCCGAATATATAGCGGGACGCTTGGTCGATGAACATGCTGGCGAACAATTCGTGGTTGACTGTACGTGGGCTGGCTGGGCCGCATAGGTCGCCATTCAGGTACTCAAGCGGATAGGCGGGGACGTAGTGGTGCGTGTTACGGAACGAGACGCGTTTCGCTTGACCTTGGGCGCACCCATACCAGGTGTGGTTGGTCGTGGAGCTGTCAATGCCAGGTAACAAGATTGGCTGGATAATCTTTGCTACTTGTCGCATGTCCGTGTGGTTGAGCTTGTTGTACCAATGGTGTAGCTTGGCATCCGACGGAGGATCGAGGGTCTTGTCGGTCGCCAGTATTGTGGCGTTGATGCGTCCGGTTGCTGCCCTCGGGGCCATGTCTTGGAAGACGTACAGGCTGTCAGACATTGCGAAGTGCAGCTCATGGCCATTGAACCGGTGCACGTAAGTTTTCTTTTTCAGAATTTGATGGGCAAGCTGGTAGCCGCTGCGAAGCAGGCGGACGTGAGAGATGAGGTTCTTGTAAATTGTCGGTTCATAGGTGACATCGTGCAGCTTCAACGTGGCGCGCTTTCCATTGCGTAAGAGATGGATCTTGGCCGTCCCTCGACGTCCCTTGACGACCGCTTGATTGGGTAGGATCGAGCTGGACGTCCCCTTCCACGAGTGCATGAAGTGATGGTTGCAGGTGACGTGGTCCGTGCTGCAGTTATCCAAGGTCGAATGATTCTCCATGACTCGCGTAGACTCGCCCATGGCCACAGAATTGACATGGTATTGCGCAGCGTCGGAGTCAGAGTCGCTACCGTCCGAGGTAGGACATGGGCGAGGTTTCCCGCCATGTGTCCCACGTTGCGATTGCCCACCACCACCGGCTCTTTTGTTGACGTAGTTAGGGTTGTATCCCAGGTGACCCGCTTCGTGATCGTCTTTCTTCTTCCAGATGTAACATCAAAGAAGGCTGTCGCCAGTCTTGCGTGGCTTGTCGCTCAGCTCTGTCAATCGCGTTTGTAGTGCGTTGATCTCCAGCGTCATGTCCTCAATGCCCATGGCCTCGTAGGTGCGCTTGCGTTCCGCGTCCCTTGGGCGATCATGGCGCTCGTCATGTCGATTGCCTCGCTTCCTTTCACGGCGCTTTTCTTCTTCATTGAGCAGCGCACTGGTAAGAGCTTTGTGTTTGTCTGCATGGCCAGGGGTTGGCTTGGCATGGCCAGGGGTTGGCTTGGGATGGTTGATGAAAGAGTTGTGTTGTCCGGACCGGGTCGGGCAAGGCCTCGCTTCCTTTCAGGGCGCTTTTCTTCTTCGTTGAGGAGCGCACTGGTAAGAGCTTTGTGTTTGACTGCATGGCCATGGGTTTGCTTGGGATGGTTGATGAAAGAGTTGTGTTGTCCGAACCGGAGTCGGGCAAGGCGATCACCAACCACTCGACTACTTCCGACTCCGTCATTTCCTTGCTCATGTCGACCAGCTCGCGGATCGTGGCTCGTACTCTAGTGATATGCTTGAGCATGTCAGTTTTCAGATCGTAGCGCAGGCTGCAAAACCGGAACCGGACGTTGATAGTGTTTGACCACTTCTTTGTCTCGTAGTCGACACCAGCGTACTCCAGATTTTCACTGGGGTGCTGTCTTCGAAGATCATATCATAGACTTCATTCGAGATGACGTCTGAAGGTACGACTTGGCCAGGTTGGTTTTGTCCTCGTAGTCAACCGATTCGACTTCGGCGGCGTCGTCAGGTAAGACATAACTTCCGTCGATAATGTCCCAGATGTTGCACAGTTGATAGGCGATGTGGAATTTGACATTGAAGGTTCAACTTGACCTTTTGCAGCAGGTCATTGGACTCTGACTCAACAGCCCGCAATCCATTGGGATATGCCGGTTCGGTAGCTTGAGCACGAACGTCGTTGATTTCTTGTTTCTACGCAAGGAGTATGAACTTGAGTTGTTTTAGCTCTGCCATAGCATCGGCGTTAAAGTCCGTCGCAGGGGTCACTTGGGGAGGTTGCTTGCTGTTCATTGTCACTGTCGCCGGCGTTCGAACGAGGGGGCCGAGAGCTATGATCGACATCCCGGACATCAGGTTGGGTTGGGTTGGTATTGGACTCGGACGACATTGATTTCGGAGCTTGAGGTTGTTAACCTTACAGAAGGCGTAGCGTAGGTATAACGAAGGTTACTTCAATTATATGGCCTTAGTAGGTATTACAGAAGAGTCACGACCTACAGCTGCCATTTAATGTTGAGCCTGAGTGGGTGTGGCGGTTAACCGGAAAACCGGATATTGTTCCATAGCGTGAAGAGTTATAGTAACGTTAGAAGCATACCTACTATAACTACTTCGTCGTCGAATAAGACGATCGTGCAGTGTAGGTCGTAATTGAGGTGTCCAAATTGGACACGCCATTCGAAAGCCTTCGACAATTCACGACAACGAGAATTTCAACCCTCCCTACCTGACGTCACTCCTCTTTTGTATGCGGATACGAATGATTTTCGAGACTCCACATGCAGCTACATTTGTAACGTTAATAGAAATACTTCGAAGTACTACGTACGTAGTACTAACGCTAGTACAAAAGTACTCCGGAGTATAAGTTTGCTTTTCATCAAAATCGAACAAAAAGGGAATTTAGCGTTACCTAAATTTTGTGTGAAAGTACATGATGATTATGTACTAGCTTGCAGGCGTTAGTTCGGTTTGGTTTGGTTCAACGCCACCAAATAACGATCCACGTTACCCAGGTACGTGTACGTGTTTTGGAACTCGTCTTGAATGACCACACCCACCGTGGCTTTGCCGCCCACGAGGATTGGAGTTGTGACGTTCAGGTCCTTTTTCAATCGCTTCGCTTCGTACGACCAACCGGGGGGGAGTTTACCCAACCGACTGGCCAATGACGGCAAGCATGTGAGGTTGAGGCTGTTGTCCACTTGTTGCGAATACGATTGCATGATGTATTGCTCTTTCACTCGTCGCCCGGCATCGCCACTTTCATACCGTTTGCCTTCTTGTTCGCGTGTCAGTATAAAAACCCTTGAGCCAGCCTTCCAGATGAAGTTGACATTGCGAGTGACCAAGTTGGGCGCGTACAGCTTTGTGGGGGTGATTGGCACTGCTACCGGAACTCGACCGACCAGCGTCATGTTGATACCCCCGACGTTCTTGATGGCCTTGGCTCCCCCGGCGGGTGTGTTGTTTCCAATTGAATCCATGAGCCAGTACCGAGGTCCATTGAGCACGACAGCTAGGGACGAGTTGTCCTTAGCGTTGGCGGGGGTGATGGTACTCCAAATGGGGGCGGGGCAGTCGTTGAGCCCAAACGTGTTGTACACGTCTGCGACCGTGGATCCATTTAGGTTTCGGACAAATAGGACTTCGCAGTAGCGTTTGTTCTTGACGTCGATAGCAGTAGTGAAAGCAACGATCGTAGCTGCAGCAAGCAAGACGAGGCGACGTGCTCCAAACATTGTTGGTGTCTGTCGCCCAACCGTGAAATTTGGAAATGAGCAAGTTTGGAAATGTCGAAATGTATATACTTCAACGTGACATGTGTTTTTGGTGCAACGGCTTCCTAACGGTTTGGCTGGTGGTTGTATGCAGCACAGTGCACACCTCCACCGTTGGAGACGATGAATCGTCTAACTTTCTACTGAATCTCATAAACGTACAACCCAACGGTACGTAGTATTGAGCCTTGGTCCATATATTAATAGGAGTTGTGCATACAATTTCCACGAAGACTTAACCCCGTTTTAGCGGTATCATCTACATTTGTATGGCGGCCTCGGCACTTTAGTGAAGTTCTCGTTACTACCTATCCATTGACAACAGTAAGCTAGGATTAAGCGCAATACACTTATTCCTACGTGGTTCTTCTACGGCGTGGTAGAACTTTCCAAGGTCGAAATTGTAGTAACTGCGGCATAGTCCCCGCAGGCACATATAGATATTGAGATATATACACATACATGCCTCGCAGAAAGTTGGAAGGAATCGGTGCAGTGCTTCTTCACTTAGATCAAACTGTAAGCTGCTTCTCGACTCCTTCACAGTATCTTGGCATGGCAATTGTTGGGGTAACTTTGCAATATCGTTGATTCTCGGAGTTGAGCTCAACGCTTAACTCGAATGACAGCACAAGTGACAACACGTTACGTTGTGCGAAATGTACTATGGTGGTCTATGAAATATCGATGGCATACGACGTATATAAATCACATCCAATTTTAACAGTTGACGAATATGTGATAAACACACACACGTTGCAACACATTTCGATCCAGAACGTTACGAGATAGTCGTACTTCGTAGTATTTGGAACGATCTAGGAATATTTTGTATGCTTACAGTACTACCATCACGAAACACTAAGGCTCACGCGCACCCCCAAGCGTTGGACGACAACAAGCGGCATGTAGCGTCTCTAGGCGCGACACAATTAACACTGACGAAGCTGGGCAAATGAGGCCAGCAGTCCTTGACCGCCACGTCCCCCTTCGACGGACAGGCCGTGCCGACAGGGGAAGGCCCCGACCCGCTGCAAACTCGAGGATCAGCAATGCAATACGTGGCATCTCCCGCAACACTCACTTCCGTGCATGGCTTTTGGTCTGCCAAGTACCGATCCAAGTCCCCCGCAAAAGTGTATGAGTTGCTCAGTTCGTCCTGTAGCACCAACCCCACCGTAGCTTTACCCCCGACCAATATTGGGGTTGTCACATTCACATCACTTTGCAGCACGACGGCATCGTACGACCATTGCGGGGGGAGCAAACGCAATTTGGAGCCCAACATCGGCAGGGCTGCGAGGGTGACGTTGCTGTTGACTTGCTGCGAGTATGACTGCATGATGAACATGTCGCCAGTCGCTTTGTTGGTCAAGTAAAATGCGGTGGACCCCGCTCGCCATCGGAAGTCGGCGCTTCGAGTGACCTGGCTGGGTTTGTAAAGTCCATCAGCACCATTCAGGAGCGGCCAAGGTAACGGCACGCGGCCCAGCAACGTTAAGTTAAGTCCTTGCACGGATTTTAGCACTCGGTCCCTGACAATGGGAGCTGAAAGCGGTCCAAATTCGTCCATGAGCCAGTACCGAGGGCCATTGAGCACCACTGCGATGGTCGAGTTGTCCTTGATGTTGGCTGGTGTAATGGAATTCCAGACGGGGGCAGGACAGGTGTTGAGTCCGAAAGTGTTGTACACGTCAGCAACAGTACTGCCGTTGATGGGGGTGTGGACGAAGAGCAGCTCGCAGTACCGCTTGTCCTTGACAACAACGTTGACGGCGGACACTGCGGTGGCGGCGACTAACATACCAACATTGATTTGCATCGTCGAAGGCGGTGAAAATGGACAATGCATAGCATCTTGCATATCCATAGTCCGCCATCGGTTTCGCTTTGTTGTCACTTTGAAGGAATTGCAAACGCGAAATGGCGAGATAGGACGAGATATTATAGTCTCTTCGTGAAACGATCTTGTTCCACTCGAAATTTTGGATGCAGTGAGTAGGTGACGTGCCAATGAAACCACTCAACCTCCCACAAAGACAGTTGAATCAAGAATCATTTTCAACCAACTCGCATGCTTTCCAATACAGAACTTTTCATTGATATTCAGCGCGACTTTGGTGGCCAAGCGGTGAATGTACGCAAATGCGTAGTCAAACCGAGGGTTTCACATGTCACTGTACGATGTGCTGGATTTGATTCATGCTCCATAATCCAATTTACAGTTAACATTGATCCAACTAGTCTACGTCATGGTACTGTAATACTGAAGTACAACTTCTTGCGTGAAGTATGTTACTCATGACAAACGAGGCTCTGCCTGGGTGGTTGCACGTAACGCGGAAAGGATCAGTGGCAGGCAAAATTGGGTGTGGAACATTGTCGCATGTGGACTGGTGTTCCCGGCCCGTTCTTGGGAGTGTTTGCGTTCTTGAACACAGTGGCCATCTGGAACCATTCGTCGGCGGCGCTGCCATTTGGCATGATTATGATTCTCACCTGCTTGTTCCTTCTCGTTAACGTCCCCCTTACGATCATTGGCGGGATTGCCCGCCGCAACACCACGAGTAAGTACAACAACCCCCCCCTTCTTGTCCTTACCCCCCCCACTTATTGTCTTTACCCCTTCCCTTCTTGTCTTTACCCCCCCTTCAATGACACTTACCCCCACCCCCCTTCCGACGATGACGTATGTGTGTACCCGCCGCCGTGCCGCACCAACAAATCCCGCGAGAGATTCCGCAGCCCCCGTGGTACAAGGAGCCGTGGGTGCACTTGGTGGTGTCGGGGTGTCTCGGCCATGTACATTGAACTGCATCACATATTTGAGGCGATCTGGGGGCGGCAGTTCTACACGTTTTTGGGATTTCGTTTCTGGCGTTTTTGATGCTCGTGGCTGTTACAGCGTTTATGACGATTGCGATTACGTACTTTCAGCTGGTGGGGGAGGACCACCGGTGGTGGTGGCGGAGCTTTTGGAGCGGCGGTGTCACAGGCGTGTTTGTGTTTGCGTACAGCGTGTGGTACTTTTACACGAGCACGGACATGGACGAGTTCTTCCAAACCGTCTTCTACTTTGGGTACTCGGCCGTCATGAGCTACTGCTCCTTGGTCATGCTTACCTTCATTGGTTCCAGTCCGCACCACTGTCCTGTTTCAGGTACCTGCAATTACTTCGAGGATTTTGAGTGTACCACGCCCCTATCCAAGGTTCAATGTGCTAGTTCACCTGAAGACATTGCTTTTATGCAAACAAAACCGTATCGGTCAATTGTTGGAAGTATTATGTACTTAGTCTTGGGCTCTCGCCCAGACTTGGCTTATGCCTTCAACAACTCTCGCAGTTTCTGCACAACCTGGGTCATGCCCATTGGCGTGCTGCTAAACGCGTTATGCGCTACCTTCAAGGCACCTCCCATCTTGGACTCATGTTAGGCGGCCGAGACTATGTCTCCAAGCCATTTCTCTCCGCTTATGTGGGATTAGTGAATGTAGACACTTCGTACTTGTGACATAACATTGGCATCGATTTTCATCAACACCCGTACTACACACATACTACTTCCTCCCCGTTGCCATTCACAACCCATACCCTTCGAACTAGTTGTTGATCTACGATGACAGTTACAATATGCAAACACGATTGTTGTCATACTGGTATTGCTCGTACCATTTGAAGGCATGATATCAAGAGGTCATATCCATGGCCCAGTAAGGTGTTCTGTGTACAAACCTGCAAAGCTCAACGGCGTGTTGATGGCTTCATACACAACTGTTCCTCGACTTTGCCATTTGACGACTGCAGCCTTGAAGAAATGTCGGCCCAATTCGTGTTGTTGATTGGTCGAAGAAATATTATGTAGTCGAAATGGAAGTTTCGCTCAACTTTCCAAGATCGCCTATTTTTTGTTGAAGTAATGGGCAGTTCATTTGGACATTCTCACAATGCTCAAGTGGAGTGAGAGCTCAGACTATGTGCGTCGATACAGAGCATTGGAGTCGGACGGAGCTGCAGCGCCTTCCACATGGAGCATGTATCCATCGGCGCTCCCTCGCGCCGCCACGTCACGACTGACCATGTACAACCTCACGATCACAGACCTGTCGTCGTTTGCAGTTCAGGCGTTGGCGTGGGACGCGGGTCTCGTGGCTATCAATCGGTCTGGAGTGTTTGCGTGGACACAGGTGTATGTAAAGCGCCAGAGCGACTCCATGGCCGACATTGCTGCCACATTCGACTCGTTCGTGACATCCCCGTCGCAGACGACCCGGGAATGCATTGGCGGTCCCAACGGCAAGTTCTTGCGACAAGAGCGAACCGACTACTCGACGTTCTCGGCCAAAGTCACCCAGTGCGCCGTGGAACTGGTGTCGGACGTCCCCGACGGCGCCTCGGCCATGTTCGCACAGGACGCGTTAAGTAGCACCGCCGTGCCAGTGCTACTCCTCCGTCGACACGTCGGCCCCAACATAAACGAAACCAACATGGCCATCCACACGTCCCCGAACTTTGGTCGATGGCCGTGGGGGGAGTGCCCATCACCTAGCCAACCCTCGGGTCTGATCATTCCTTGCGATTTTGACTTGAAAGGAGTGTACTTGCCAGTACCCAGCCCAGCCATGAATGTCTGGCTCAATGGCATCTCGACTTTAAAGCAAAGCATGGCCTCCACCACCACTCATACACCGTCGTCGTCCATTGCAAACACACCATCCACACTGTCACCAACTCCAGCAACTCGACCAATTGAAGACAGCAACGCCACCAATCGTTCTGCAGCCACGTTGACGCCAGTAGTGGCCTACATTGGCGGCGCACTCGGGCTCCTCGCGTTGATACTTCTCTTATGGTGCTGCCGTCGACGGCATCGACGGGCCCACCCCCCGCCGCTCTATTTTGAACCGTTTGTCGAACTCCATGCGACGCCCAAGGGGCTACACGCTCCGCCTCGCCCGTCCTCCGCTCGTCCCGCCTACTCGTTCCGCTGTGCTCCGCCGTCAGCCCACCCCTTTCCAGCGCTAGACGCGTCCAACCTCGTCCTGCATCTGAATCCGTCCAAACGACTCGACTTCGACACCATCGAGCGGGTCGAAGTGCTGGCATGTGCCAGTCTAACGAGTATCTATTTTGGCTACTACTGCGACCGTCCCGTGGCAATCAAAGGGTTTGCAACGTCGAAACTGCATGAGATCAACCAGCGCCATCTCGACGCGTTCACGGACCAGATCCGCCTCATGGCGTCGTTCAATCATCCCAACATCGTGGCCCTAGTCGGCTTTGCATGGCACAACCACCCCCAGTCCCTTGTGGCCGTCACCGAGTTCGTTTCCCAGGGCAACTTGCTCGAGTTTCTCGTCGCCCATCCAGGACTCGAATGGACCAACAAGGCGCGATTGGCGCTGCATGTCGCCCGCGCGTTGCAGTACTTGCATGTGATGCTGTGTCCTTCTGTCATCCACCGCGACCTGACGACCAAACATGTGCTCATCTCGTGGCCGTACGCAAAGTTGAGCGGCTTTAGCGTGTCAAGGCACACCCACGAAGAAGACTCGGCGGACACCATGACCGCGGGCGTGGGCTCTGGTATGTATATGGCCCCAGAGGTGCTTTGTGAATCGGGCCACTACTCCGTCGCGGCAGACATGTACTCGTTTGGATGTGTGTTGGTCGAGCTTGACACGCAAACCCCACTGTTTGCCACGGCCAATTCCACGTCGGTGCTCCTCGAACTTCTCAACGGGACTCGAAAGCCACAGGTATCGTCAGACTGTCCTGACCCCATTCGAGACCTGGCCGTCCAGTGCTTGGAAGCCGATCCGTCCCTGCGGCCGTCGGCGTTCGACGTTGCCCGGGCGTTGGAAGCATTTACTACTAGTATCCAACAACCATAATGACAAGGAATGGAATGATGGTCTCTGGGACGTACATTCCGACCAGATCGATTGCTGATTGGCTCTTGAATTGAATGTGAATCTTCACAATTCGGCGTCGTGTCATCGTCACAATGTTGGCTTGTTGTTGTTTGACCGACCACGTGTTGGACTTTGTACCCACGACCAGTGAAGTGATGTGTGCACTGTCTTACAGCAATTGGCCATCGACCACACCTTCGAACTCGTAGGGTATTCATTGTGTGGCGCTGTCCCTCCTTCCATCCACCTGCATTTCAGGTCTACATCATCGCATCCGTTGGTTTCACCTCGTGCTTTCCAACGCCGTGCTACCCAACGCGATAGCTCACACGCTTTATGGGCATGTGCGATGGTTGCTTCGGTAGATATGCCGCTTGTTTGGGTCGTGCGTGTCCTGCGGGAACGTTGCGTATTGATGCCTTGATTGATGACAACACATCACGCGAGGATCGCATGGGTTTTGATGCCCAAGCTGGAAAGTAACACGGGGCGAAGTGTGGCGGCAGGGGTGGGGTCTGAGTCTGGGCTGGCTTTCTGTGGCAAGGCTGGGGTTTGACTTGGCCAACGTTGGTCATTTGGCTCAAAATCAACAAATTGGAGTAAGTTACACTGATCCCGACGACTGCCAGCCAAGAGCTCCAGGTCGTGTTGGCAACTTCAACAACGCAGATTTACATGCATCCAAGCGACATTGGCCACTTTCTCATTCCTACGCTGGCCCCTCCATGATATTGAATAGTATCCTGGAACACGTAGCGGCTTGTATGGGAGACGGGCGTTTGGTTCCCAACCGACCACACTTAGAATAATCGAAATCTAAAAGTGTGATTGGTCAACTTGGTTATTTTGACAAATCAAACCAACTCTTTTGACTCCGATTGGTTAACTGGAAGTACAGCAATATTCAGACGAATTCTTTCATCTACTCATCTAAAAACTTCCAACTGGCCAAATCGAAGAGTGGAGGTTTTATTATTTAACGTACAATTAGTGTAGTTAAACCCAAAACCCAAATACGTTAACAATAAATACCGATTTCATGCGTTTTATCACTGCAATAGGTTAAAGGTCCCAACTGCCTCCGGATATTATATACGGATAAGAGTCACATACATAAAGCAAGATACATCTCAGCGGCCACTCCTATGGCCAAATATACAAGCGCCTATGTAAAATACCGCAAGGTTAAATATCTAGTTCTGGACCAATTCATCACCAAATTTGAATATGAGACGTAGAATTTCATCACCACATTGAGATCTGTCGATTCTACGTCTCAATTTGCTGAAATTTTGAGTAATGAATATGAAATAGAAGTCAGAAAATTTTGTGAAAAGTTGGTAGTTTATAGATGACGTGCACCATACTACTGAGTATATTCGTTCGATCAGTACATTGCGACATTTCTTTCGGTCGGAAATACATGTAGCTACGGCGAAGCTAGCCGAAAACTTCGACCATGGTGGGCTTAGCTACAGCAAATCGTAGCTAAGTCAGTAAGCTTCATGCATGTACTGGAATGTTTTAACTACTCCGAGTACACCGGTAGAACGTGCTTGTACGTATATTATACCACATCTTTACTATACAGTGGTTGCTGGTAAAACCCGGCCAGGGCAACTCTCCAAAATTTAAATAAATAACCAAAAGTAGGGATGTATGATTCTGTGTTTTGATTGGATAACTTCATGGGAATATTCGATAACCAATCACAAAGTCGCTTGCCTCTAATTGGCTCGATTCAAATCTACAAATGACGCTTTTCAAATCTGTCAGCAAGTCCAGCACGCATTTCCA